GGATTATTCATAAGAGAGGAATAGACTCATTTATGGAAGGTATGCCCATCAGCGTTACCCATTTTTTCCTGTCAAGATTCATATCCCATCAACACACACACATGCATATAGAGGAGCTTAAAGATATAGTTAAAAGGTAAAGGTAAAGGGACCCCTGACTATTAGGTCCAGTCGTGACTGACTCTGGGGTTGCGGCACTCATCTTGCTTTACTGGCCAAGGGAGCCGGCATACAGCTTCCGGGTCATGTGGCCAGCATGACTAAGCCACTTCTGGTGAACCAGAGCAGCACATGGAAATGCCGTCTACCTTCCTACCAGAGCGGTACCTATTTATCTACTTGCACTTTGACATGCTTTCGAACTGCTAGGTTGGCAGGAGCAGGGACCAAGCAATGGAAGCTCACCCCACCGCAGGGATTTGAACCACCGATCTTCTGATTGGCAAGTCCTAGGCTCTGTGGTTTAACCCACAGTGTCACCCGTGTCCCTTGAGCATGCAATTAAATGGCCATATAGCAAACCTCCAGGGACAGAGGCAGTATATCTGTAAATATCAGCTACTGAGGACAAAGGACGGTGGTTCCCTTCATGCTCTGGCTTCCCTTAGGTGACTTGCTGGCTTTATGTAGGAAACAGGACTTTGGCATGTTCTAGCAAAGCTTAAGCAACTGCCTTACACTGAGCTGAGGGTCTGCCTGATCTACTGCTGTCTCTATCTACAGAACTCCTTCAGCTTCCATGCTACCCGTTCTCCCCATTGCAGGTCCCCTTGAGACTGATGGGGGATCTGTTCCCTTGGCTACTTTAGAAGCATGTGGTTGGGTGGGAGGAATGTATGATTTGGTAAAACTGGATTGAGTCAGCTACTTGAGGTTCGTTGGTTTCACTTAGGGCCCTTACATTTCGACCCTACTCCAAATCTGAGCGATGAAATACAAGCAATACGTCCGTGCTACAACTAGGGCTGGGCAAAGATGTTGATTTCAGTTTCTCTAAGTTTTGCAGTCTGAAGCTCAGTTCTCCACATTGCAGCATCAATTTGCAATTTATTGATTTTTAATTTGCCAACCTTTCAGCGCAAATTGCTGACAATGCACACATGTTTATGTGCAATTTTGCCCAATACATGTGTGGACATTTCCGCAAAGCAGCTTTCCCAAAGATAATGTGATTTTAAGTCATTTTCATTAATCTGTGCATTTCTGGGCAACAGTACCCCAATATATACACATTTGTACATTAAACGTAGCTGGAGAACTTCACTGCAAAATTCAGGGGGGAAAGAGCAAATTTTGAAGACTGGCTTGCGATCTGCTTCTTGCTTTGGAACGTATGAATTAAGTAAGTTTGTTTTCTCATGTGAACTGAATAGGATTTCTCCCCCATCCCTAGCAGGGATGAGGCACAGCCAAATATTTGCATTCTTTTTAGCAATGCGCCTGTAAGGAGCCGAGCCTCACTGGGCAGAGCACTTGCAGAGTCTCTCAGATGTGAGTTGGTGAACTGGTGCTTGGAGAAGAGGCTTGGAGGAAATCAGTGAGAGTTTGCAAGAAGGTGTGTTGTCCCATGTGTGCATGGTGGGTACATGCACAAAGGCTGCATATGGCTATATTCCAACTCCACTGGTGAAGGCAGCTTGGCGCTTAATACCAGCAGCTGGGAATCCCAAGTGGGGAGGGCGCTGTGGCACTCACGTCCTGCTTGCAGGCTCTTTGCAAGCATCTGGATGACTGCTGAGTGAGGAGTGCCAGTGTGAGAACAAGGTCAGTGTGCCTTTATTGGGCGTTATACCGGAATGAATGAATCACAGAATCGTAGAACAGTAAAGTTGGAAGGGATGACGGGAGTCATCTTGTCCAATCCTGTACAATGCAGGAATCTTTTGCCCAGCATGGGAATGAATGAATGAATGAATGAATGAATGAATGAATCTTTATTTGCATCAGCCATCGGCCATAGCAATAAAACAACAATACGATATACAAAGAATAGAAACAAAAAGTCAGTTATATAAAATACATTTTAGGGTTTTGAATCAATATTCAGATGGTGGATCTTATTCTGATTGCCCCAGCTAAAAACCTTGCAGCCTTTGCTATCACCTGCTCATCTTGATTTGCCAAGAGAAAGGACACTGTGGCAGTGGTTGGGCGACCCAGAATGGACAATAAAAGAGGGGCGATAATCTCATTCCTCAAGTCTTTTATGAAGAGTGCAAGCCAGAAGGGCAAGTGCCACCGATTCGGTACTGCCATCTCCACAGGGACATAAGCGTTTGTCGTGTGGAATCTGTTGGAATCATCCCTCAAGTACAGCCGGCCCAACATGGGACTTGAACCCATGATCCTAAGATTAAGACTTGCCTCCTCTACCAACTGAGCTATCCATGAATAATGTTTATTTATAGTGGACAGACGAAGAATTGAAAGTCATTACATTTTTTGTTTTGCATTTTAGAATATTCATTTAAACAACCTTAACATATCAATGAATTCCCTTCTTCTCTTTCCATGGTTCATTTTGCATAACATAAATCCCTGCATATTTTATATAAACTAAACCATTCAGTATTCCATTATTACAGCCATCAAAACTTGGTGTAGTGGTTAAGAGTGGTAGTCTCGTAATCTGGGGAACCGGGTTCACATCTCCGCTCCTCCACATGCAGCTGCTGGGTGACCTTGGGCCAGTCACACTTCTCTGAAGTCTCTCAGCCCCACTCACCTCACAGAGTGTTTGTTGTGGGGGAGGAAGGGAAAGGAGAATGTTAGCTGCTTTGAGACTCCTTCGGGTAGTGATAAAGCGGGATATCAAATCCAAAAATTATTTAAGCTTCTTAATTCCCCCCTATACGTCTCAGGGATTAAATGTGGAAAGGGAGAAATGTGTGTACCATGTTGAGCTCTTTTAAGATAAGGTGAGACATAAGTGCAATAAAATAGACAATAGACTAAATGAGCTCTTCTTACATCCTTCAGGGCACTCTTGTGGGCCTTCTCTTCTATTAGTGTGTCCTAGTGCTCTGAGCATCACCAAGATCTTGGTCCAGTGCCCACCATGAATTCTCACAAGACCTCCAATACAATGCCACTGTGGTACTATGGGGGATTATAATGGCATCTAGAGTCCTCCATCCAGCACTGATCAAAGCACCACAAAAAGTTTCAGTCAAAGTCCATCTTAAGCAGTAGGGGTGGAGCTTCCCCCAAAAATGGACCCCCAGCAGCTGCCCTAATGTACCAGGTGCTGACTCTAGCCCTGATCCAGAGACTAAAATTGCCTAATTACACCAGCATCTTTAAGCTAAAGATGAAAATGTCAGCAGATCCCGTCATTGATGTCAAAGGCCTTCTGTAGTCTGGCTCTCAGATTCTGGTGTCACTTGAAAGCTGGAGAATTCTTCACAGGCAATAAACCTGCTTGGATCACAACAAAAATCACGTTCTTGCCAAGGGAACAGGAAATGAGTCAGCCGTGAGTCAGGTATTTGTTGGCAGAGACCCGACACAACACCAGGTGGTGCTGTAGTAGAAGCGTCTGGAGGGACAACGGGTTGCGTTGCTGCAAGCAGCAAAGGGATTTCAAGGTTGGGTCATTCTAGGGACAATGTTTCCTAATCTTTATTGCCTAAAGGCTTTTGTGACAAAAAGAGGAATTAGATTCACACCGTTGAAACAATCTGGGTGGCCTAAATATATACATATATTGCCTCACAGGCAGGAATTTGCAAAGGGAACCGTTTCCACATCCGGGGCATGGAAAGAGACTGACAAAATCACACACACAGGTGTACCCGTGTCCCGTAACACTGCTGGAACCTGTAGAGACTGCGGTGGAATGAGAAAGAGCAGTTGGTGTGAGGCACAGACTTCATATTATTTTAGCTATATGTTGGCTGCACCACCAACATCAAACTGCCCTCAGCCGGCCCTCACCTGCCTGCTTTCTTACACCCAGTCCAGGGACTGGTTGTCAACTTCCTCTTCCTTAATCCCACTGTTGTCATGATAGAAGCCCATAGGGAGGAGGATGTGGGCAGAACTGGAATTACTTGGCCCTGCCTGTCATGGACTCTGGCCCAACCTACTGGGGGCTTCTGGGCCTTCCACCATACCAGACTCAAGAGGTGCCAGGCTCCGCTGCTTAGCTTTGTAGCTGTGCCTTTAACTGGAAGATTTAGAATTCCCCCCCCCATACAAAGGTTGTCAGTGTGCCCCCACTGCCACCAACATCTGGCTCTACCAAGGGACTTCATATTAGAAGTTTCTGCTTGGAGAGGAGTGCATTACTCTTCTTTCTTTCTTTCTTTCTTTCTTTCTTTCTTTCTTTCTTTCTTTCTTTCTTTCTTTCTAATTTGTCCTGCACAATGGAGGCAAAAGTATTGGATAAGGGGTGCTTTTTCCTCTGGAGGGAGAATAACAGCTGGTTTGGGGTGCATCTGACTGGAATGGTAAGGGTAAAGCCACACCCCACACCCCCATTTTGATCAATTTTAGACCCCAAGTAGCTATTTTTCAAAACTAAATAAATAAAAAACAAGACATCACATCTAGTTTGCACTTCAGTGTAATCTGGAATATAATACAAACTTAAAGGTGTTGGTGGCAAGGGAAAAACTATGCCAAAATCCAGGTGAGAGAACCCCAGCAGAGATTTAAAATCACAAAACATGCAGCACAGCAAAGTATGGAAATATAGGCCGTTAGATCTTTAAAATATGCCCATCTAAGTTCCTGCCAAAACTCCCCTCTTCCCCTAGCAGAGAAAAAGACCACATATTTGGGAAGTTTAAAAAAAATGGTTTACTTACAAATTCTTCAAAGGTCAGTTTCATGTGCTTTTCCATACAGCATTCACAAAACACAGGCAGAGAGACTTTGCACCTAATAGCCCCCGTTCTTCAATTGCTAATACCACGGTGAGAAGCCGAAGCAAATGTGCTCTGTTATCTTCATTAGAAAGGGGGATATTACTGCTACCTCCTTTGCCAACCTAGTGCCCTTGAGATGCTTTGAACTGCAACTCCCATCAACCCCACCTGGTAAGAGGGGGAGGATCAGTCTAGGTAATTGGAGCACCTGCCAAGAGGCCTGGTTGCTTTAAAAGGCCCTACCCTCAAGAATGTGTTAGATTTGGAAACTCCCAGACTCTTTGCACCAGCTGCTGTGCTTAAGAAACCTATTGTTTTGACACTTCTGCAATTTAGCATGCCTTATATTGACTGCTGTTTATTTCCTGCACTTGCCTAGCATGTTTTGCACAACGGCTCTCTAACTGTGCCCTTTTTAATCAGACTGCTCTGGAAACATTTTATCTTATCTGACTCAGGTATGTTAGCAACTGATAAGCAACATTGTCAACCAATAACATCTCAATGCCTAATGCTGTGTCTGTTTTGTCGCAAATTTTTAGCACATTCTAGCATAAGTGACATTGGAAAGCGCTATTTTATTTGGAGCACTGTATTCTGTTCTACAATTCATTGATGCTATCCAGATTTGCAGGGCTGACCCAAAACTATTCTTTGCTGCCCTAGGCATAGCAATGCCAGAGAAATCTGATGAAAACAGAAACATGAGCAGAAACTGCCAAGGTTTTCTTATTCATCCCAAATCCAGAACAGAAACCAACCTATTGAATACAATCAGCACTTGGTGCTGTTGTTTCCAGTCTGCAAATGATACATAATTGATTATTCCCAAAATTTGCATTGTGTTTGCGTTATAATGAATTGGGCAGAATAATGTAATGACAAAGTAACTGACACAAATAATTATGTAGGTGATGTATTTTTTCCACAGCAGATAGTGAGACAAATAATATGAGATCCAGCGTCGAGGGCCTTCTGCAGGTTCCCTCCCTGCGAGAAGTGAGGTTACAGGGAACCAGGCAGAGGGCCTTCTCAGTAGTGGCACCCTCCTTGTGGAACGCCCTCCCATCAGATGTCAAGGAAATAAACAACTATCTGACTTTTAGAAGACATCTGAAGGCAGCCCTGTTTAAGGAAGTTTTTAACGTTTGATGTTTTTCGTGCTTTTAATATTCTGTTGGGAGCCGCCCAGAGTGGCTGGGGGAACCCAGCCAGATGGGTGGGGTATAAATAATAAATATTATTTAATAATAATAATATAATCATCATCTTCAAGGGCAGCCTCATGAAGATCACACGGCAGTCATCTAACCTGGAGGCTGCCAGAATGTGGATCATTATGGCCAGGCTACTCCTTCCCAGAAATAGCCCCAGCTGAAGTTTGTGAACGCACACTAATATGACTGAGGCTGCCTGATCCTCTAGTCACAAAGCTGGATCTAAGATTGCGAGCCCGTTCTTTTGCAGGAGGAATGAAACTGGTGGCTCTACCTCCATCCCTCTCACTTCTTCACCTTTCCGGCCCGGTGGCTATCCCCATCGCCAGAACCATTTCCTCCCATCACTTACTCAACTCTTGTGAAACTTGTCAGTTCACTTCCTCTTGGGGGTCCGTGGAAGTCATTAAGAAAGAAAGCGAGGCAACAAACAAACAGACCCACATTCACCACCTCCGCAAGTGGTGATATGCAAATATAGAAACGAGACGAGCTTCGGGGCACAGACGGCTGGAGAAGGCGGTGGCAGACAGAGAGATTTCAAAGTCCGAAAGGGTAAGAGGGGATGGCGGGTTCTTTGGAGAAGGGCTGTAGGTCAATGGCAGAGGAGCTGCTTTGCATGCACAAAGTCCCATGTTCAATCCGTTGGAATTTCTAGGTAGGGATAGGAGAGACTCCCCTGTCCCCAAAAACCCTGGAAAGAGGCTGCAAGTCAGTGGAGAGCCGACTGAGCTAGATTGTCTGATTTAGTATAAGGCAGTGTTTCCTTTGGTGTCCCTGTAATGGGACAACAATCAGAGTGAAAAGCAGGAGGCATCCTTAACAGGGCATAACTTAAGACAGGCAGAATCGCTGCAGTGGGAATTTACAGGGACCTTTCTCAATGGCAGGTGCGGTTCTGGAAGATGTGAAGCCATGACAAAAAATGAAGGGTTCCTTTGACCATGTCTGGCATGCATGTTATTATTGGTTGGTTGGTTGATTAGACTGTTTATTCCACCTTTTCTCCAAGTGCACAAAGGGTGTGTGCAAGATAGTCTCCCATCCTTATCTCCACAACAACCCTGTGTGGTAGGACAGCCTGCTGAGACAAAGAGCTATAGTCACCCATGGCTATGTAGGGATCTGAAACACTTTACCACCACAACTCACTAGAATAGTTCTCCTTAGTCCTTTTTCAGCCCCCCCCCTTACATTGCTTAAATAAAGTAGTGATTTGGGTAAGGGGTTGTGGGGACGAGCATGCTAGATCCCCCCCCCCCAGTTGTTTTCATCACCTGGAAAATTAATGAACCATAATTTTGACAAATTCATCTGCTGCTCAGTTAGTTGGACCAAAATATATCTGACCAAAATATTTTACATTTAATTGCTGTGGGTTTTTTCACTATTTTCAGTGGCTTAATCTGTGGTTTAATGAATTGACTAAGTATCTGAAGCTGTACCTGTTTCTAATCTGTACTGTGGCTTCAGTCCTAGATACCCTAACCCCAGCAAACACTGGGTTGCATCCATACATTTAAAGCACATGATTTCACACACACACACCTTGAATCCTGGGAACTGTAGTTTGTTAAGGGTGCTGGGAATTGTAGCTCTGTGTGAAGCCAAAACTACAGTTCCCAGGAGTCCATGTGTTTTACATGGATGGTGTGGATGTGACCACTGACACATGCCTCTGAGATGGGGCGGTGGGGAAATTCATTTGTTTCCATTTAAAACCAAACTTACATAATTTTCATTTTCCGAAACAATATGCAGACTGAAACACAGTCATCCTCCAAAATTCACACCTCTTCAGATTTAGCAAGGTCATTATCCAGCTACATAATGTGTGCGTCGGTGAATGTGCTTGGATAAAATATGCCTATATTCATGAACCCAACACATATTGGGGGAAATTGCTTTGCAAAAATGTGAATATTAAGCAAGATTGAAAAATTCAGACAAGAATGCTGAAAATTTTTCAGGAGGACTTCGTTTGGGCAGGATAAAAATATATATTGTAAACTGACAAGGAAATGTGGAGAAGTGACCTTAAGACTGAAAAAAAAAAATATGAGAAACTGGAAGAAACAAAAATTTACATATTCACTCATCACCCCTCTAAGCCATTAAGAGGTTTCGCCTAATGTTCAACTGATATCTATCCTCCTGAAACTTTAAGCACATGACAATCCAGCTCCAGCCTCTTGCACAACAGAGAACAACCTCTCCTTTGCACAGGTGGAAAGATCTGTCAGATTCTCTTCTCTCAGTTTCTCAGGGTTCCCCGTCCCCAACCCCCCCCCCCTCAATTTTGCTATTTCTTTTTACTAAGTCCTCGCGAAAATTCTCCAGCATTTTAGTGTGAATTTTTCTCTAATAAACATATTTGTATGCAGTTTTGACTAATGCACTCATGTCTGCAAGCAAATTTTCCTGATGCACTTTTGTATCTTGTTTTCATTAATATATTCATTCTTCTCCATACTTCCCCCCCAACGTGCTGTATGCATTATTGTGAATGTTCTTTGGTTGGAGAACAGCATTTTGTATAAGTGAGAATTCTGAAGGTTGGCTGTGTTTTGCTTCTCATGCTATTTCAGAAAGTGCCAATGTGATAAATTCAGATTTAAATGTGAACCAAATTGAATTTCCCTTTCATCCCTAGACCCTCAGGGATCTGGAGTACCGTCCTCTCCCCTCTTAGTCTTCCCCCCTCCAGGCTAAATAAGCTCAGTTCTGTCACTCTTAACTCAGAGAACTTTGTTTCCATACCACTGACAATCTTTATTGCCCTCCTTTGAAGCTATTTCAATTTGTCTACCTCTTCCTTAATTCGCCAGAACTAGACACAGCAGCTCTCTGTCTTCACCCATTTTTCTTGTTGTCTTCCTCTCAGGCCAGTCCTTGGAGTGTATTTGGCATGCTACTAAAGTCACATCCCTGTACTCCTAAATGGGTGAAATCTCATGATCCCATCCCTAGACTGTATTTGTTTGTTTGTGTTTTTATTATATTTCCCCTCCACCCTAAGGTCCCAGAGAGGGCTAACAACAATTAATACAACTTATAGTCACAAAAATAGGGTGGGTCCTGAAATATACACATCTCAGCTGTCAAAAGCCAGGGTAAAAAGGAAGTCTACTAACTCTCAACCCTCCACTTTTAATTGAAGTGGCTGCTTTTAATTCAGAAGCTACTTTTCTTTTCTTTTTAATAATATAATAATTTAATACTAATTTATTATTCATACCCTGCCCATCTGGCTGGGTTTCCCCAGCCACTCTAGGCAGCTCCCAACAGAACACGATAAAACAGCAAACATTAAAAGCTTCCCTAAACAGGGCTGCCTTCAAATGTCCTCTAAACGTCAGATCATTGTTCATTCTCTGGACATCTGATGGGAGGGTGTTCCACAGGGCAGGCACCACTACCAAGAAGGCCCTTTGCCTGTAGTAGTAGTAGTAGTAGTAGTAGTAGTAATAATAATAAAAATAATAATTACATGGAACTGACCATCAATATTATTGCTAGTCTGACCTCACCTCACTTAAAGTCCAACATATTCATGTGCATTTTCACATGAAGGAATACACATCAGAAGTACTCCCGTGTGTTAAATAGGAGATGGCAAAGGCCATCTGTGTATGCTTAGTGCACTCTTGTCATGGGGGGGGGGCAAGGCTTAGCCTTTCTAAAAGGAGGTTCTAAGTGACAATAACCTGATTCAGTTTCAGCTTTGACAGGTATCATCTGGGGGTGAGGGAGGATGCCCTGAATTTTTGGTTCTTGCATGGAGAAACCACAAAGCCCAAACATTCTGGAGAAAGAAGAACGGATGTGATAAGAACCACATGACGTGGCATACCGTAACCCCAGGGAATTTACTTGCCATGAATACTACAATTTTCCTGCCAGCAAACAGCTAGAGAGCAGTCTTGACTCATAGAGCATTGGGACAGACAGACCTTAGAAACAGCATCCAACCCGCGTTTGAGTTCTGCTACAGGTGTTTGGTGTACACTACCCTTCTCCTGGGTGGGCAACCTCAGGCATTGGGCCCAAATACACCCCTCTAGGCCACACATCCTTCCCAGACACACACCACACCAATCTTGCTTCAAACCCTCATTGAGCACTTTGATCTGGCTGGAATGTGGCCTTGGGCTCTGATAATGCCTTGTGTTTGTCTGAATGTGTTTGTCTCATGCTATGTCTCATGGAGCCCTTATCCAGGGATGCAGGTGGCACTGTGATCTAAACCACTGACCCTCTTGGGCTTGTCGATCAGAAGCTCGGCAGATCGAATCCCCGCAAACGGGGTGAGTTCCCGTTGTTCTGTTCCAGCTTCTGCCAACCTAGCCCTTCGAAAGTACGCCAGTGCTAGTAGATAAATAGGTACTGCTGAGGCAGGGAGGTAAACGGTGTTTATGTGTGCTCTGGTTTCTGTCATGGTGTCCCGTTGTGCCAGAAGCAGTTTAGTCATGCTGGCCACATGACCTGGAAAGCTTTCTGTAGACAAACGCCTGCTCCCTTGGCCTGAAAGCGAGATGAGCACCTCAACCCCATAGTCACCTTTGACTGAAATTAACTGTCCAGGAGTCCTTTACCTTATCAAGGTAAACCCAACATATTTGTTGGAACATTGGTACTATGAGCAAACAAACCATTATGGTGCAAATCAAATATGATACAAATGTGATACATAGATATACAATCTATATCTATTGTATTTATCTGTCTGTACACATAGAGAGAGACACACCTACTGAGGTTCTAGCACTGATCAGAATGGGTGTTTGCACTTAATCTTTTATCTATGGGTTATCTATACCCAACAAGATCCCCCCGCAGCTGCTTTTAACTTCTGAGAGGAAAAGGCACCACTGATGCAATGTTTTTGCTCCATTGTTGCAGGGCAAACACAGAAAGGGAAATGGGAAACGATGGAGCTCCTCTCCAAGAAGAGTCTTGGTAGAGGGGCATGCATAAACACACCCCTATGCACTCCTGTGCATACACACACACACACTTCCCCCTTTCTCCCATCGCAAAACAGTTGCCTCACCATTTATGTAAGAACTGCAAGGAAGTTGCTTCATGGGCTTTAAAGAAACTAGAAGTCTTTGTTCTTTTAGTCGAAGGGAGCATCGGACGTCACTGTCGATTCAGGTGGCACATCCTCTATGAAAGTCCATTGCTGCAGGATGGGGGCAGCAATCACGAAATATTTTGCTCCGCTAGATTTGAAGCCTGCCCCCTTGAAGCAAAGCTCAATGGCTTAAGAGTTTTGTGCTCCAAGTATAGCAGAAAGAGCAGATCAACGGGCAATTCTATTACTTATTTATTTCTACGCATTGCATTTCTGTCCCACCTTTTCTTCAAGGAGCTCAAGGTAATATCCATGGTTCTTCCCTCCCCACCATTTAATACTCAAAATGACCTTGCGAATTAGGTTAGGCTGAGGGGTGGTGACCAACCTGAGGTCACACCCAGTGAGCTTCATGCCTGAGGAACAGCTCCAGCCCACCCATTAGGCAAGGTGAAGCAACCGCCTCAGGTGGCAGCAGATCCCAGTGTAGATCTTTGTTCCCTGCTTGATCCCATTGTACAACTTCATTCACACCTTCATCCCTGGCAGGGAGGGAATTTGCATTTTGTGGTCCGCCTTAGGTGCCAAAATATCTTCGGCTGTCCCTGCTGAGCAGGGATTTGAACACCTCGTCTCCCAGGTCCTAATCCGACGCTCTAGCGACACCCCACTGGACAGCATCAAGCCTCCATCCCACAAGTCCTTGGCCTCCTGGGCTTGGCTGGCTGGCAGCAGGTGAAGTAGAAGTGCCCCCTTGGCTACTCTGATTAGCCTGCTAACACCCAGAGAATAAGGAGACAACTCTCCCTTCCCTGTGAACTCTGTATGAACTTGTGATGGAGAAGTCAGTATCAAAGAGTGAAACAGCTTAAGGAGAGGCAGCAAGCAACAGCAGCATCTGCAAGAGAGCTAGCGGAATGCCCCCCTGACCAGTCCCATGCTAGAAGAAATAATAATAATAATAATAATAATAATAATAATTTATTTATACCCAGCCACTCTGGGTGGCTTCCAACAGAATTTTAAAATACAATAGTCTATTAAACATTAAAAGCTTCCCTAAACAGGGCTACAAAACCTCAAGGAAGCTCCTGTTTAAATATCCTAGCTCTGAAGTATGGAGAGCTCCTGGTCAGTGTGCACACCACCAGGTTGGGTGAACCCAGTGGTCTGGCTCTATCGAGGGGGATAACTTCTCAGGTTCCAGCCCAAACGCCACCAGTTCGGCCCATCAGCAAGCTGAAAGTTCATATTAAAAGCAATGCTCTGCAAGTAGAGAGCAACAACCAAATCAGATAGGGCTTCAGGCAAGCCTTTTAGCTTATCAGCAATTAGCACCTGGTGTCAAGAGCAAGTTCGGGAGCAGTGGGGGGAATCAGGCATGGGTGTGGTCATGCTCTGCAACCCTGTAGAAATGTTTTCTGCCTCGAGTGTTGTTTTGCTCAGTCTTTTTGGAGAGCAAACCAAACTGAGCCACTATCGCTACAGCAAGAAAGACTCGAACCTTTCCACTCATTGTGCATCCTTAACCAGCTTTGGGAACCAAGGAAAACAGACTTTTGTCTGGTAACACTAGCATGTGCATGGTTACATTTAGCAGCCGCTTTGCACGAAAGGGAAAATAGTCTCAAAGCTGCTAGATGAGAAAAATGCTAATCAAGCTCTGGTCCAAGTTTGACTCGAGAATAAAATGTGTGCCCGCAGTCATAAAATTCTGATGATGTTTCTCTCCCTTCTTCTTCCCTACACAGTTCCTCCACTGCTGTCTGCCACCCAAGAGGACCATGAGCACTTCCAACATCACCCAGAATGCAACATCAGCGCTATCGCCCTTGCCAGGCGCGGCGGTTGGCCTAACTGTGCTCTCTCTCGCCTTCATTCTGGGCTTCCCTGGCAATGCTTTTGTGGTTTGGAGCGCAGGCTGTGTTGTCCGCAAGCGTACGGTCACATGCCTCCTCATCCTTCACCTGGCCATAGCTGACTTGGCAGTGCTGCTCACAGCACCCGTATTCCTGCGGTTTCTAAGTGCTGGGAACTGGGAACTCGGCGAGGCGGTCTGCAAAGCCTGCCATTACATCTGTGGGGTCAGCATGTACGGCAGCGTGTTTCTCATCGCCCTCATGAGCTTGGACCGCTGCTTAGCTATCTCCAAGCCCTTCATCTCACAGAAGATACGCACCAAACGTACCACATGGCTTCTGGTTTTGGCAATTTGGGTGGCTGCTGTTTTCTTGGCCATCCCTGTACTTTTCTACAGAAAGGTGATTTTTTGGGAAAATAGGTATATTTGTTTAATCCTTCATCCCACAACCAATCATTTGATCTTCCACAATCTCTTCGAAACCATCACTGGGTTTGTGGTGCCTTTTGTTGCCGTGCTCTACAGCTACGGAACCATCGGCCTACGGCTGAAGGAGACCCGTTTCCGTCGAAAACGCCGTACAAACCACCTCATTGGACTTATCGTGCTGGCCTTTGCTATTTTCTGGCTCCCTTATCACACGGTGAACCTTCTGGATGTGGCTGCTGTGTGGAGCGGCTCTGAAAATGTCAAAAAAGACGCTAAGATGGCTAGGCCGACCTTGGTGGCTCTTGCCTTCTTCAGCAGTAGCGTCAACCCCATCCTTTACGCCTTCAGCGGCAGCTCTTTCATTCGGTCAGCCGGCTTCGGATTCATGGCCAAACTCTTTGAAGGAACTGCCTCAGAAGTGTCCAGCTACAGGCGTGGTACCAGCCGGGACCATCAGTACCAGGCAGACGCCAAGTTGGCCAACTTAAATAATGTGAGTCCCGAGTCTATGACCATGTCTACTAACCCAGTGGAGAATGGATCATCTCGAGAACATGAAGATACTTTTAAACCTCTCAAGTCACCTTGAAAGCCTACTGTTTTGTGGAGTGGCGTGGATTCTGTGCATGCACCAATGGATTGTCTGACCCATCGTGGTTTCATATTGCGTGCTAGAAATGGCCTCTCTTTCCATCCCTCCCCCTCCCAGTTGCCCTTTATCTGAGATACGCAGGTCCCACACATCTGTAATCTGCTGTGTGGCATGAAGATTTCATTTGGACGCACACAGCTGTCGTATTGAGATTTCCCTCAAAGCGCTCGCTCTCAGGCCTAGCAACCAGCTTCCTCAAAATATTGCGCGCCCAGCACCTGAAAACTGTGACGCCCTAACTGAAAATGCATTACAGAAACTACATAGAGCTTTTTGATTATTCAGTACAAACATTTAGGCACCATAAATGGACACTGTTTGGTTAAAAAGCAAGGTCTACAGGTAGCCAAAGAGAGGGCATTGAACATATGGAGTGTCTCACATACCACATTAGCCCACCTAAGCATCTAGGGGTTGTAGCTGTACTCTAAGTTAGAGTAGACCGACTGAAACAAAGGTGCCTTAATTAACCATGCTCATTTATTTCAACGAGTCTACTCTGAATATGACTCAAATTGGTCACAAACCCGAATTGCTGTATTGGTACTTCCTCTCTCTTTGTGCATGCTGAAACCTGGCCTCCAATCTTTTAAAAGTTTTTCTTACCTCACTAAATATGCCCCAGTTTTTCTATCTCATCCTCAGGGTGCTTTAGAATTTATGATTTCAGTGGGTATATGGAGGGTCAAGCTTACCTTAGCAGTGAAAGGTGAAAGATGTATTTGTGGGTAGTATTAACTAAGCTTTACTAAGAGCAGACCCATTAAAATTAATGGACCTAAATTAGTCGTATTCATTAATTCCAGTGAGTCTACGCTGAATAAAAATTAGGTTTGTTTGATTTACTTCAATAAAAGCTTTTTTAAAATCATCATCATCAATTCAATAGGCATAATAGAGGTACAAAAAAATCAGTGCAGTACATCCAATGGAGACTTATTATTTCAAACTTGCCATATTTCCAAAAGTGAAAATTCGGACACAAAAGTTGTTTCCCCGTACATTTCAGCTGCTTTGCGAAAATTTCACCCAGGCGCCATTTTTGAAAGACAAATCCCAGCTATGTCTGGGAAATATCGGGTGTATAGCAGCCCCAGAAAATACTCAAGACCATTAGGAAAACCAGTTTTCCCATTGTACCACGGAGAGGGAGTCCTATGTGACTGTATTTATTGTATATAAGGCAAAATCAGGGGACTAGAAGGGAGTTTGCACTGTCCCGACTGTCTCACTTCCTCCCCGTTTTCCTTCCTCATAAGCAACAGTGATGCACCTGCCCAGAATTATGCATAGTTCCACCTGGTGAGCCATGCATAGTTCCACCTGGTGAGGATATCACAAGGCTTTCGGGAATGGCTGGCATCTGGGGAGGTTATAGATTGCAGATCACCAGAGAGTGGATTTCTAGAATGAAAGCAGGGACACTCACAAGCAGTCCTCAGTTCCTTTGAAGTAGGGATGGATGGAACCATTAATTTCGGGTCTGTTTTCAGTTTTACATGTGCTAATTCATAAATCCTTTCTATGCTGCATCTGCATCAATCGGCATTAAAAAAAGCAACCAGTCTGTATGGAAATCTGCATTTGAATACACACTTAAATATGATTGTATCAAAAAATACATATTTAAATACATATTTTATCTCAATGTACACACTGTTGAACACATTTTATAATAAAATATGTATTTTGAAACATGTTTCGGTGGGCTTTTTGCTATCTGTGTCGCAAAATGTGGAGAGGTGCAAATTCTGACAAATAAGTATTTGTATATCCATATTATTAGCCTGTGAGGAAAGGTGGTGGTCAGTTCACTTAAATGCATGGAATGAACAAATTTCTCATCTATCCCTTATTGAAAGAAAGGTACGTGCAACAAAAACCTGTGCTACAACTAGGACAATTTCACAAAAATGCGATCCCTACATTGAAAAGGTGGCAATAGAGTCTTGGGAAAGTCAAGCCCTTTCCAGCCCTCTCAGAGGCAAGGAAGACTCCACCCCAGGGCTGTAACTAGGGGGTGGTGAGGAAGGACCCCACCAGGGGCACAGGCAGGGGGGTCAAAATCGGCTAAGAAATATAATTAAGTATTGGATTTTCTGTGAAAGAATTCATTACAAGGTGAAGTGCGTAAGGAATTGAATGGATGGAGGGGGGAGTTAGAGGAGAGGCAGAAAGAAGAGCTAATTTGTCTGTGGCTAAGGGGCACAATCTAGATTGTTCTGCCAGGGGCACAAGTTCACCTAGCTACGGCTCTTCTCTACTCCAGCAGACTTTCGTTCTATTATTCGTCTTAGCATGTTCAGCTTATCTCGGCGTACTCTAGGATTCTCCAGCCCTACTGTTTGGGAATTCAATAGTGGCAGGCAGGATCAAAAATTAACACCAGAAAAAAAGTTTAGAACTTTGAAAGTGCCAGTGTTTTCTTTTTTCTTTTAAAAGAGCAGAACAAAGCCAACGAAAGAAACACTTAAGAGACACCGTTATTTACAAATAAAATATATACCACGCTGTTTATTTCTGCAAGAATTTAAATAGGTCGGCTCTGATTCCACTTGCACCTCTTCCTCCTTGCAAGCAGAAAGGGAGCAGCTCATCTCTTGAAAAGGCACCTGATGGCCTGGCGAGTCATCACTGGATTTTGGAAGTCCAGCCCACAATTGCTTGCAACCTCACAGAGGATTTTCAGCCATGCCTTTGGACTTGCAAGAAATTCTGGTTTTGGTCAGATCCTGGGGAATAGGATTCACACAGGGGGTGTGGATGTTTCGCAGCTTGAGGAGCATGTTACTTTGTGGGTAACCTTCATTGGAGGGGCACCTACCAGTGGTGGGCAGGGCCAGGAGCAAAAGAGAGTGGAGCAATGGGTGAGACTCTTGCCCTTATACAGCACTCTAAATTCCCTTTATCCCCCAAATCTCTCCTTCCTCTATCCAGGAAGCAAGAGACCTGATCACAGTTCAATGGCATATTCCAGCCAGGCAAAAGCAGTCAAAGGTGTGGCGCAGGACCAGTGAGGGGTGTGGCCTGGACAGAGGGGCGTGGCCCAAGGAAAGTCCCAAGGGCTGGATGGAGAGACCTGAAGGGCAAAATCTGGCCTGTGGACAAGACGTACCCCCACCTGATTCACACATGCTGCTTCCAGTGCAACACTAGAGCAATGTGTGAGATGCGGTGCATACTATAAAGGGTTCCCATTTGGTGGAAAGCATGGTTGAAGTGTCAACTCATTAACTAGTAAAGTGACCGGAGAGGAGAGCTGAATTAGGCCCCCTCTGAGCTATTTGGCAACAGCTGTGTCCCAGGTCTCAGGTCTAAGGCCTTAAACTGTGTACTGTATGCTTCCCTCTCACTTCCCACAAAATCAAAACTGACCACGGGTGAGAATCCATTCCTTGAATGAAAAGGGGGAAGCTGTTCCCCGGCATGACGTCGCTTTCAAACCCTGCAGCACCTGCACGTGAAAAGGAGGGTAAAGACACATGCCACAATCAGGAGAGGAAGAGGGCAGGGCAGGGCAGAAGAGAAACTGGCCTAGAAAGAAACTGGGAAAATATTGGTTTCTTGTGTGACAACCTGGTTTCTTGGGCTCAACCAGCCTCACCCCTTGTCTACAATAGACGACTACAACCCAGTAGTGGGACCATAGTCCTAGCTGTATCCCCCCAGTTTCCCCAAATTACTTCCCTCTCTGTTCGTTTAAGGTATGCCTGTTCGGATAGCCATCTGCCAGTCTGTGTCCAGCTTGGCTGAAACAGCCTCTCAGGCCAAATGGGGAGGTCTGGTGGGTCTGATTAGGCCCCTAGGATGAAAGCTCCCCACTGCTGATACAAGACATGCCTGTTCAGACATCTCCCAACCCTGCCAAACCCCATGGTTTCAAGAAGCCACACTGTGATTGGCCCCTGCTTAACAGACTGGGTGGGGATTAAGCACCATCATAAAATGACTGGACACCATGTTTTGGGCTTGGGAGCTGAGCTGAGCTTAGTTTAGTTTAGCAGCCTTGCTAAAGGAGGATTGAAGGTGTTCCTTAGACCACTGGTTTAGATCAAGCAGCTGGACTGAAGGTTCCTCAAATAAGGTTTGGGAACTTGATTGCGGAGTTGCTGTCTTCCTTCTGTGAAGTGGGATAAAGCCCTACTTGGCCATTTGAGGTGCCCTTAAAGAGTTCTAGGTGAGTCAACAGCAAGGTCTGTCTTTGTCACAGCAGGAAAACATGGAGGTGTATTGGTCATTGATTGCAGAGGTAGGGTTTTGGTTTTGTTTGTTTTTCAAAAGGGGCAAATGTACTTGAGCAACTTTCTCCAGCTCACAGTAGTTTTACATGTGTGGTATGTCCTTGGGGGTCTTTCCCCAGCCCCCAGGGTTCAATCTTCCTCCGACAGCCACTCCATTTATGACACACATAGTTTGTGAGAGCCCATGAACCCCAAGCATGGAGCACAAAGACTTGCGGGGAATCCAGTGCTAGAGAGTCAAGCCTCCTGCTGCCCCCCAAGTGGCTGGAAGAAGCACCTGCAGCTGTCTCCAGGGAATCCCCCCCCCCAAAAAAATAATAATAATCCGGTGCTTGTCACAGTTTCGTTCCCAGAAACTCAGCTCAGCATAGGTGCTTGGGGGCCAGGCCGGGTCGTGTCTGTACAGACAAAGTATGTTCGAAGTTCACCTTTTCCTTTCACCTTTATAACCCCACGAAGGGAGCAAGTGTAACCCAGTGTCTCCAAGGCCTTGGCTGTTTCTTCTGTGACCTGTGTGGAAAGAAGAGAGGAGGGAACCATTAAAGAGAATACAAAAATCTAGTCAAAACTTGGTTGCTCTTGGTTGGGTTAGGTAAAAATGGTCACAACGAAAATACTCCCCTAATTTTTATTTTGTTCATTGGTAGTCCTTTACTAGTAGATGTCATAATTCCTAACCCATGACAGGTTATTATTCCAGGGTATGTTTAAGACCATATACTGCTTGAGATGAAATGACATAGGGTTGCCCCCTCACACCTCTTCAGTCAAGGTGCATATACCAAAAGACAAACCTTTCTCCTGCTGTTTGGCTCCCAGTGACTGGTATGCAAAGTCACACCGGTTTTGAATATGGAGGTTTCATTTCATTGGGGTGGGTGGGTACCAGATATTTGCTGGTGGGCCAAATCTTTCTCCCACACAGGTGTGTGTCAGGGAGTGGACATCGGAGGAGGAATGGTGGAGACCGCCTCCCCCTCCCCCTCCTGAACCTTCTAGAGAAGAGGGAGACAGTGTCGATTTACAACAGTGGTTTGAGGTCAGCTCAGACATAGATGAAGAGAGTAGTTGAGAGATAATAGGAGAAGAAGAAGAGGGAGAGACAGAGACAGAGCAGCTGGCTGACACATTATCACTGGAGAACATTCCAGACCCCCCATCTCCCAGAACCCGGCAAGTACATTTCAGAGCACAATTCAAAGTATTGGTGCTGACCTTTAAAGCCCTAAATGGCCTTGGCCCAGTATATCTGAATGAGTGTCTCCACCCCCATCATTCTGCCCAGACACTGAGGTACAGCGCCAAGGGCCTTCTGGAGGTTCCCTCACTGCAAGAAATAAGGTTATAGGGAACCAGGCAGAGGGCCTTCTCGGTAGTGGCGCCCACCCTGTGGAACACCCTCCCACCAGTTGTCAAGGAAATGAACACCTATCTGACTTTTAGAAGACATCTGAAGGCAGCCCTGTTTAGGGAAGATTTTAATGTTTAATGTTTTATCATGTTTTTAATATTCTGTTGGGAGCCGCCCAGAGTGGATGGGGAAACCCAGCCAGATGGGCAGGGTATAAATAAATAAATAAATAGTTGTTGTTGTTGTTGTTGTTGTTACACCTGCTGTGGCTGATAACAGCCAGCTACTATTCTGAAAAGCAACTGGATGTATTTCCTTTCTGACTTCAGTGCTCTACACAAGTTTGTTCTCAGGAAGCTAGGGGAAAAACATCTTTTATCCCAAGCCATATAACCAGGAAGTAACTCACACCCCCTGCTGCCACCCGCCCAACAATCCATCCAAATAAAATACTATCATTCAGAAACTACTTAGAAAGAGGAAACTTTTTTTTTTAATAGGTGAGGAATACTGATAGAAGGGAAGCACAGGGAAGCTTCAGGTGGCGCTGGGGGCCACATAAGAAACCGCAGGCTGTGTTTTAAAAGCCCTACCTGTATCTTCCCCAGCACTCCCGTGCTCTCCATCCTGCTGGCCACATTGACTGTGTTCCCCCAAATATCATATTGGGGTTTCTGGGCTCCAATCACGCCCGCCACAACCGGTCCATGGTTTATACCTGAAAAAAAGATACCATAGAGGTTGGGGACACAGATATACAGTGGATTAAAGACTGCATACCTATGGTCAGCGAGTATTATAAATTAATTATTTTTAAGGGGGGCTGGTAGGAATTTAGCAAGGGCTGGGGGGGTCATTCTGGGCTAAATGTAATCAGTTGGTTTTTTGTGTTTTCCATCTGCTAGGACATGAGTGGCACTGTGGTCTAAACCACAGAGCCTAAGGCTTGCAGATCAGAAAGTCAGCGGTTCAAATCCCTGTGACAGGGTGAGCTCCCGCTGCTCAGTCCCAGCTCCTGCCAACCTAGCCATTCGAAAGCATGTCAAAATGCAAGTAGATAAATAGGTACTGCTCCGGCAGGAAGGTAAACAGTGTTTCCGTGCGCTGTTCTGGTTTGCCAGAAGTGGCTTAGTCGTGTTGGCCACATGACCCAGAAGCTGTCTGCGGACAAACACCGGCTCCCTTGGCCAGCAAAGTGAGATGAGCGCCGCAACCCTAGAGTCGTTCAAGGCTGGACTTAAGTCAGGGGTCCCTTTATTTTTGCCTTTACATTCCTCCATTGCCTTCACAACTGAAATGACAGGCAGGTGTGCCAGCCAATCAAACACTGTTTGATCTATTCATCCTGCCCTTTCCCCATCTTCTCAGGGAGAGGCCCACACACTCCCCTCCTTGAATCCTTAAGATCGCTTTATGGGTGTTTGGGCAGAAGTGGGGGAGTAGCGGTCCTCCACATGTTGAATCACAACTCCCATCAGCCCAAACTAGAAAGACAGGGCTCCTGGTTGGGGGAAGGTTATACCAGGCCTGTGGAGCAATGTTCAAAACAGTTTATAGCCTCCGTATTGTGTATGGAATGCCTCCCTTCCATTTTCTGAAGGGCTGCAGTTTCCCCAAACCCACCCCTGGTTTAGCGGTTTATTCATTACTTTGCAGCGCTGGGTTGGGGAGGTTTCTTGGTGACAGCATAGGCACCAGCCAGTAAGTGCTGTGCACACAGCCAGTTTCTTATAGAACGGGGATCAGGAAGCTGGACCTGGACCTGGCCAGCAAAACGCCCACCTTTCAGTCACCTGATACCATAATGATGTCAGGTGACTGACACGGTTGAAAGGAGGTTGCTGTAAGCTGCCAATCAGCCAACTGGTGGTCGCAGCAACTGCTGCCAGAAATGTGCTTTCTGCGCCAGTGAGCTGATTGTTGCTGGGAGCATATCTTCACAGAGGCTCCTTGTCGTTGCTGATCAGCTGACCAGCAGTTCCAGGAATCGGTTTGAAGTGTCAGCAGAGAGGGAAATGCTCCGAAACGCAGAACGTTTTTCCTTCTGCAGAAAAGAACAGCTTGCATTCTAAGCCCTGGGGGAAGTGCTTTGAATGGACACTGCTTTCTGTGGAAAGGGGGGGAAAAGATTTTAGTACTCCTCCCCTTTTCTCAGAAAGCAGCTTGCATTCAAAGCACTGGAGGAAGCTCTTTGAATGTTTCCTGCAGCCCCCTCAGTTGCACAAGGTGGTTTCCGATGGGGAATCCTCTAGCACAGCTGATCCCATCAGATGGTTGGGGCTTTGCCTGTGCAGGGTTCTCTATAACCACTGACAATTGTTGGCGCTTTGAATCCTCAAAAGTCAACTGATAATCTGGACTTTGAATCATTTTGCTGCATTCACCCTTCTTGGTCCAGCCACAACTTTACCTGCTACATACCTCAGAGGTGTGAGGAAAGTGGGTGTGGCTTGGTCAAAATGGCCTGGTAGGACAAGTGGGCCTTGGAGCCAGATGTTCCTCACCCCAGTACTAGAGTTGATGTTTAAATCCCTTAAATGATGGGGGGCCCAAATATCTGGAAGACCGCCTCCTTCCCTGAAGACCCTCTCAGGTGTTGAGTTTGGCAGAGGAAACCCCATTGGTAGTTCCTCCATCCTCAAGGCAGCCCAGGAGAGGACATTCTCTGTGGCAGCCCCATAGATGTGGAACTCCCTCCCCACAGTGGTGCATCTGGAGCCTTCATTATACAGCTTTCAGAGAATGCTGAAGACATGCCTCTTTACCCTGGCTTTCCACGCTTGCAGGTGTATGTTTTTAGGAGACACCTAATTGTATGGTTGTAAATTGTTGCAGATTGTTCTGGGACCGGAGAGTGAATGATAAATAAATCAACAACAACTCATCAAAGAGAAGAATAAGTGCATTTAAATGCTATATAAATGCATATATATATAATACTGTGTTTGTCTTTATCAAACGTAATAATTTGTCTCTGTCACATGCTGAATTCGTGGCTGGGGTCAGGGGTGCAAATTCCTGGGGTCCAACCCTTTCGGGGGGGGCAATAAATTTTTTTTGGGGGGGTCAGGCCCCCCACGTTAAAAAAAATCAGGGCCAGGTGCACAGCTGTGTGTGGCAGGGCATCAGTGGCCAACTCCTTCTCCTCCTGCCGCAGAGGGGAAGGAGGGGAAAGCAGCCCACGGCCGGTGGAGGTGGCAGAAGGAGGCGAAAGAGGAGCCACTTCCGGCCATTGAAGGCATACTGCTACCATGCTCGGCTCTGCCCCCTGGCTCCTCAGATGTCCTGACACGACGTCATGATGTCATGCATGTGACATCACATGCAATGCTACACACGTGATGTTGCCCTTGCTCCAACCTCCCTCACAAGTTGGCGCCTCTGACTGAGGTGGTATTTGAAGAGGAGTCTTCTCAGCTCCCGCTTGTCTCACTCACCCACACGAAGCTTGAAACTGTTGAAAGAGTGTTTGTTGATCATGTCTAGCTTGGCTGCCAGAGCCATGGCAAATTCCACCATCGTCCCCAGGTGGGTGTAGCTCCGCTCTGTGTCCTGCAAGGACCACCCGGAAGAGAAAAGAAAGGCATGTGTCAATAGGTGAAGGCAAAATTAAAGATGCAACCCATAATTACTAAGAGGAGAGGAGCCTCACTGATATAGACCATACAAATTCAGACAACAAGAAAAGTTGACTGACATTCCACCTGACTTCCTCTGACTCGGAGAAACAAGTCCTCAGCCTTGAGACAACAAAGCTGTTGGACTGGCTGGAACTAACAGCTGTTGGCTTCCTCCCCTTCCAGAATTGTCTCCAGTGGCAGCTATCCCAATTGGCTGCATCAGGAGTGAGGCGGCAAGGGCCACTCCAATTCGTGCCGTTCACAGGACAAATTGATGCCGAGTGAGGCACTCCTCAGACATCGCCAGCACTGGGTTGGAGAGCATGAGATATTTCATACATGGGTAAGGACTGGCTCAGGGACTTATGGGAACCCTATCAATGGCAGTTTGTGCAGAGTTGAATCGACAGGTTTGTATAGCGTGGCCCAAAGAAAAAACGAAGTGTAAACAACAGGAGAAAAACAAAAAAACAAACTACCCTCATATTCTTTGTGATTATCTCCAGAACAGGAACCAATTCAGCAAACATGCATTGTTACAAAACAGCAAAAAAAAAATGGGTGTGTGTGTGTTTGTGTATGTAGTGTCAATGCTGATATGGCACTGTGATCCAGCGATGTATCCATATTCTCACCATGGTGCCCATTTCTGAAAATAGAGCATTTCAGATGATACCCACAAAAGTCTTGGATGGCCGCTAAAATAGGGTTTCATATGATGACAGAATCTGTATATGTGGTCAACAGAAGGTGGAAGACATTACACATTCCTCGTTAATCTGCCCTTTGCATAGGGACTGATTCCTGAAACCTTCGCTAATTCCTGGAAGCAGGTTTACTACGGCAGAAACGGCTCACTTTCTTCTGGGTTACGCTAACTGTTTTGTGACGTATAAAATGGGGCTTTATGCTCTGGTCACAAGAAAGATAACAAAGGGAGAGATAGACAATATTGCAACAAGTTGTGCTGGAGATTCTGAGGTCTAACGGAAGTTTAGCTGGGGATGAGTTAGCAGTCGATACTTTTGAACTCCGACTCCCTGGTGTTAAACCCTTGACATCTTGTGTTGTGTAATTGTTGTATGCTGCATGTTGGGATTTGCAGTTTGTCAGATGGTAAGGAAATTGTTATAGCATTTGGTTAAAACTCTCTTTGATTGATTGATTGATTGATTGATTGATTGATTGATTGATTGATATGGGTTGTGATGCATGGGAGGGGGGGTAAAAAATATTTTAAATTTATATAATATTTCAAATACATACAAAGGCAACAAATAATCATCATCTCACAAAAACGCCTATTGGTTTTGGCACAGCAAAGCATATTTTGATCATATCTGCGGAAGTTATTTACCAAGCTACACATCATTTGTGTCAAACGGAAAGCCGGTTTTGTGGTTTGACATGAAACTGCATTTTCATTATTTTCATTAAGCTGTGGGAACAAAGACACTCACTTCCCAGCAGGAGGGAGACAACACAACCTTGGAATTTGGTTGCAGTGAACTCAAGTATATAAAATCAATCAGGGGACCAAGGACCACAGGAGGAAAGCTGTGGAAGGGTTAGAAAACTTGGGGTTCTCTAGCCCCCAAACAATAAAATGAAGATGTTCATCTTGTCAGGAGACCTGTCTTCTGAGGCCTATGAGCACTTTTAGATTTTTAAACAAGTACCACTGGTGTTACAAACTCTGGTCACTTTGCTTTTCTACGGAATCTAAAAAGATATTAGGTGGCCATCTGCCATGTATGATCAAGCTGAGATTCCTTCATTGCAGGGGGTTGGACTTGCTGAAACTCAAAATTCCTTCCAGCACTACAGTTCTGTGGGAAGGTTTACTTTAGCAGAGTATGTTGCAGCTACAGAAGCATGCAGAGAGGTTGCCTGGCTGGATCAACTCATTATGGATTTTGGGTTGGTGAGCAAAGTCCCTGTTAAGCTGCTAGAGGATAATCAAAGTTGCATGAAGCTATCTCTGAGGGAGAGGTTCCACCAAGAACTAAGCATATTGGGCTGAAGTACCACTACATTCGTGAAATGATTCAGAGTGGACTTATGGAACTATCTTATGGCAGCACCAAAGAGATGACTGCTGACAGCTTGACAAAGCCCCTGCCAAAAGAAAGTTTCCAGAATCTACGTGTAAAGCTGGGACTCGTGGTTGATTAAAGTTGTTTACTTTTGTTAATGTTGTACTGCTTGAGAAGGGGTAGGTGGGATGTAAAGGTGCAGTCAAGTGCAACATTCCGACAGAGAACTAACGGCCTCCATGTTCTAACTGGTTGCTGTGACAACCAGTTTGTCAGTTGATGGTAGTTTTGAAAGATAACTGCTCCGTTGCAGTCACCTCAGGACCAACTTCCCTCTGGTATAGTTTTATTTGCTTGTTATGTAACCTAAGCCTGCCTTCAGGTACAGTTCTGTAAACCTGAATGACTCTGAGAGTAAAATAGTTTTATATTAACATGAATCAGATTCGTGTGTGTATTCTTCAAGAGGGATTCAAAGGGATTTTTAACCAGGAAGGCATCTTTATTCGTAGAACTAAGAGGAGTCAGCAGCAAGCTGATCGCTGCATAAACTTATAAAGGGGATTGTTTAACTCTGCTAAATTCCCACAAATTCTACGATTCTTTGATTCTATCCAACAGATTCCATATCCAACAGAATTACAGTGGTAACTCGGGTTAAGTACCTAATTCGTTCCAAAGGTCCGTTCTTAACCTGAAACTGTTCTTAACCTGAAGCACCACTTTAGCTAATGGGGCCTTCCACCACCGCTGTCCCGCCGGAGCACGATTTCTGTTCTCATCCTGAAGCAAAGTTTTTAACCCGAGGTACTATTTCTGGGTTAGCGGAGTCTGTAACCTGAAGCATCTGTAACCTGAAGCATATGTAACCCGAGGTACCACTGTAATATGTCTTGAAAAGCACATGGAGCTCAGAGAGGCAATGGGAAAGAATGTCAGCCTTCCAAGTTCCTCCTTCAGCACTACGATGTACCTATCAAGGGACAAAGAGGTAACTACCCTCACAACTTCATAACTAAAGAGCAGGGGAGGGTTCATGTGCATTGGAGGGCAACCTCAATGGCACTACTGGGTTCATGAGAGCTACACTGGTGACCCGTGGTGCACATAGTTAACACGAGTGTAAGTGGTCTTGCAAAGCCACCCCATGGAATCACATACCCTCCAACCTGGAAGTGTGAAAAACCGGGATGCACATCTTCTGGAGGGGTGCGCTCCTATGTGAGTCACATGACCCCTGCAAGATTGTGGCCCCCAAGATGTGCTTTCTTTGGGACCATGCTCTTGCATGAGAGCACAGTGCCCCAAAATGGCCGCCATGCTGTTGTATGAAAAAATGGGATGTCCCAGTTACCAGGACAGGTTGTTGTTGTTATATTTGTACCCCACCCCACCTCCAATCTGACTGGGTTGAGGAGTATGGGATCAGGGTGCCACAGGCAGATTTGTGAACAAAAGAGTCATGCCAAAGAAAGGAGGGCCTCACCTGTTGGTTATCCTGTCCAGCCACCACATTTAAGCCAGTGGCTGCCATGTAAGTGCTGCCGATGGTCTTAATCTTCTCCACCCCACTGAATTTGGGCTTCAGGAGGAGCTGTTGAAAGAGAGACAGGAAGAAGGCTTGTTTCAATGGTTATCAACGAGAACATTCCTGTTGGATCGCAACAGCCTTTGCCAACACGGTTTCCCCTCAGACATTTTGGATGGCAACTCCTATCAACTCCTGTCATCAGAAGGCATTTGGGCGTAAAAGCAGGATATAAGCCCTGACCCTTGGCTATGATGGCTGGGGCTAATGTGTGCTAATGCAGAAAACAATATCTGGAGGACACCAAGTTGGAAAAATCTTCTCTATCTAGTCCAGAATGTAGCATCCACACCTTCAATCCTGTGAAAGAATCATAGAATTGTAGTGTTGGGAGTGACCCTGAGGAAAGGGACAACTTTATGCTGCTTACAGTAAGTCACTTAGGTGATTCAAAGGGATTCAGGTGGGAAAGTGTGAATGAGAGGTGGTTCAGCTCTCTCCTCTCCTCATCTGTTCCACTCCTGGTGACCCAGACTACTTGTTTACTGCAAAACACTTCACTTGGCGGAGGGGCAGGGTGTGGGGGGATTTAGATCAGAGCAATGGCCATAGGGAAAAGGGAATTGATAGGATGTTTGCAGTTCCTACAAATGTTCATCCTCTGCGGCTGACGGCGTTTTTTTAATGTAGCAGAAGTGGCAAAAAGCAGTAAAGCAGGTTGCATTATTTGAAACACTTTTATACCACTTTAGTAGTCATGGATTTCTTCCAAAGAATTCAGGGTTAGGGTAGTTTGTGATGGGCACTTGGAATTATAACTCTGGGAGGGGTCTCCTAACCATTCTCATCATCTTTCCAGCAATGCTGATAAAAACATAATATATGGGAGAGAAAGGGGAACTTTTAGATTTCCTCTTTAAAAGAAAAAAAGAAGAAGTGTTATTTTTAAATATATGCAGGTTGTATGACAAAGGCAACCAATATAAGAATTATCCCACAACAGGACTAAAATTATTTGGCACTTCAACACATATTTTTATCCTATTCCCAAAAGTTGCTTATCGAGTGGCACATCCTTTTTGTCAACAGAAAGTCTGTAACTTTTGTGGTTGGCCATGAAACTCTTGTTTTTACTGTGGAAACATAGGCACCCACTTCCAGGCAGGTGGGAGGCATCTCAACATCTTGTTGGATCACATCAAAAGTCTTTCTCAATCTCCCCTAGCAAGCTTTTCCCCTGGGCATTTTGGATGTCAGCTCCCATCAACTTCTACAATCAGATATCATTTTGGCGTATAGGCAGCATATAAGCCCTGATGGTTGGAGCTGATGGGAGCTGCAGTTTGACAGTATCTGGAGGACATCAGGTTGGGGAAGACTGTTCCATCTAGTCCAGAATTTTGTCTGTGATCACATCCACACCATAGGATGTAAAGGAGGGAGAAGAGAATGGCAATGTTGTGATGCTTAGGTCACTTAGAGCATATTCCCACATCCCACTGTCTTAAAATGTGTTTTTCTCATATGGGAGAAACATACGTTGAAAATGTTGTCTATAAGAATAAAAGAAAATCATTATAAATTAGTTTGGATATGGTATTTAACACCAGTCAGATTAAATCAAATAAACAAGGGATATTCAGTGTTATGTTGGAGGAGATGCCAGGAAACAGGGAATTATGTTCACATGTGGTGGGGCTGTAAATATATAAAAAAAAATTGGCAAAGGGTGTTTAAGGAGATAACAGAAATCACTGGGTTAAAGCTGACCAAAAGTCCAGAGGTAACATTATTATCAATTTACATGGGGTGGAGGGTTAGCAGGCTATGAAGGACTTGCTCACAAATTTATTGACAGCTGCATGAATTATGATAGCTAGGAAGTGGAAGGGGCAAGCAGAATATAATTTACCTGGGAGACCACTGTTAGCAGATGAAAACATTAGCAGGATTGCAATAACACTTGTAATGTAGCAAATATTATGGACAAAATAAAGAGGCATAAAATATGGATTACTGGAGAATATGCAGTTGAAAAAGTTGACAATAGGACCCATGGAGGGGAAGGTGGGAAGCCCAGAGATTCAGAGTAATCTCTATATAGGAAACCTGTTTTATATTGTTATAACTCTACACTTGTAAAATCAAACAAAAAAATTTAGAAAAGAAAAGCTGTTCAAGCAACAATAACAACAACATTTAAATAAAGACTAGAACTCCTGATACCTCATCAAAGTCGGCAATGATCTCGTTGAGTAGCCGAAGGCATTCGAGTCCTTCATGGTTTACATTCGATTCAGAGTAAAATTCTTTGAAGTCTGGGATGGAGGCGAAGAGGACACAGACGCAGTCATAAGACTGGTGGTAAAGATCCTGCTAGGGGAGAAAGGTGGGGTGAAGGGCATTATCAGACCTCAGCAGGCAGGACAACCCTTAAAAATTAATGACATGGAGGCAAATTCCCCACCCACCCAATCTCTTCATTTATACATTCCTTTTCTATGCCACTTTTCCTTCAAGGAGCTCATGGTGGTGCACAAAACATAATTCTCCCCTCTCTCTCCATTTTATCCTCTCAACAGCCCTGTGAGGTAGGTCAGACTAAGTGACTGGCCCTAGAGTGGAGGCTTCGGCCTTCGTCTCCCGAGTCCTACACTCTAGCCACTGCTCCAGCATTTGGGCATGGTAGTGGTCTCAAGCAACCTTATAAATAACCAGCTCTTTCCTCTAGGGTGGGTAGTGGGAGGGAACAGGGGGCAACATACAGAATACGTGAATCCTTACCGCATAAAATAAATATTGCATTGAATACATTGAAGGCCATCTGACAAAATGCTTTGGCTTAATGGAATTCTGAAATCAGATTTATTGTGAGATTCTGTATTTCACTATATAATTTATTATATCTGTATCTATAGATCTGTCTCTATAGTTTTTCAATGAAATTGGAAAGAAAGAAAGAAAGAAAGAAAGAAAGAAAGAAAGAAAGAAAGAAAGAAAGAAAATCATACAAGTACAGAGATTATATATCATATCTGTATACAGAATTCATGAAAAGAAAAAGAGGAACAAGTCATGTCAGTTCACAGAGTCTCTTCAAAAAACCAGCATATGAAGCAGAGGGTTTTAAAGCTTCAGAGGTAGAATCTTTTTTTAAGTCAGAAATGGAAACCACACATTTCCATACGTGCCTGCTTGCATTATGAGTCAGCTTCTCCATCAATGCCAGATACAATTTTGCCAGTTCAATTCTCAATGGAAAAGACCATCTGTGTTACTGTCATTCTAGTGACAACCAAAAGCTATTTTTAAATGACTGTTCTAAACTATTTCATGCAAACCACATAGTTTTTTTTGATACAGTGACACTTAAATCTTGCCAACTAAATAAACAAACAAACAAACTGCAGTTGGGTCCTCACCTCATTTATTATCTTCAGGAAAATAATATTTACATTTCATTTTTGATTTGTTCAGGACCTAGTCTGAAGTTTTGGACTGCAGAGTGATTTTTTTGAGGTTATGCAGAGTTTCTATGTAAGTTTGCAGTTGACCTAAATATTAAATTTTCGTGGACCTCCTCTTGAAATGCAGTGATAAGCACTGCAACCTAGTCACTCGTACAGCAAAGAGGGTTATTACTTCCACTGATTTTCTCAGAAGTCCCTTTGGATTGGACTGGTTCAGTACCAAAGCATTTCTGGTCTTTGGCTTAGACACCCCTTTATTTCTTCTCCCAGAGTGGGCTCTTTAGTAAGACCTCCTTTCACAAGTCGTCTCCCCTTGGGTCTTTGGCCATCAAGCTTCAAGACTCACCTCATTGCGCCGGTTCTGGCGAATGAACTGCTGAGCTACGTCAGCGGGAAGCACATTCTCCAGCAAGACACGGTTGAGGTTCTCCATGGTTTCAATCTCCTCACGTTCTTCCTTGAACTTCTTCTTCCAGAGGAAATCTAGACGGCAGTAATATTCGTTCTGAGAGACAGGGATGGGGAGAGAAAGACAAAGGGAGATTAAGAAGGGAGGGGAAAGCTGAAGGATACCCCTTTGATATTAATAATAATTTATTATTAATACTCCACCCGTCCAGCTTGGTTTCACCAGCTAGTCTGGGCTGTTCCCAACAGAGTATTAAAAACACAGTAAAACATAGGGATGCGAGTGGCGCTGTGGGTTAAACCACTAAGCCTCTTGGGCTTGCTGATCAAAAGGTTGGCGGTTCGAATCCCCACGACAGGGTGAGCTCCCGTTGTTCAGTCCCAGCTTCTGCCAACCTAGCAGTTCGAAAGCACACAGTGCAAGTAGATAAATAGGTACCGCTCTGGCAGGAAGGTAAACGGTGTTTCCATGTGCTGCTCTGGTTCCGCCAGAAGCAGCTTAGTCATGCTGGCCACATGACCCAGAAAAACTGTCTGCGGAAGCGGACAAACGCAGACTCCCTTGGCCTTTAAAGCGAGATGAGCACGCAACCCCAGAGTCATTCGCGACTGGACTTAATTGTCAGAGGTCCCTTTACCTTTACCTTTAAAACATCAAACATTAAAAACTTCCCTAAACAGGGCTGCCTTCAGATGTCTTCTAAAAGTCAGGTGTTTATGCCTGGTTCCCTGTAACTTCGCTTCTTGCAGGGAGAGAACTGCCAGAAGGCCCTCGGAGCTGGACCTCAGTGTCTGGGCTGAATTATGGGGGTGGAGATGCTCTTTCAGGTATGCAATGCGCTTCCCAGCACTCAGCAAAAAGTCGTGCCAGCTTGATTCGCTTTTAAATATGGAGTAAACCTGAAACTTCGCCCAGTGCTACAGAGAAACATAGGAAGCTGCCTTGTACCCAGTGGTGTAGTCAGGGCTGGCCCTATACATTTTGACACCTGTGGAGAACCACAAAATGGCACACACCGCCCTCTCCACTGCCACCAGGGAAGAAGGGGTGATTGAAGATATACATCGTGAACAAGGGCAGGTGGGGACCAGCAGTGTCTTCTATTCACCAAGAGGCCGCTGTAGAGATGGCACTGGGGGCTGCCAAGGAGGTAGCAGATCTGGCATCTCTACCATGGCAGCAGCAGCAAGCAGTTCATTCCTTGGAGGCCAGATCTGCTGCCCCAGTGGATCCTGCCACCTGAGGCGGTTGGCTCACCTTGCCCGCTGGGTGGGCTGGCCCTGAGTGTAGCAGCAAACTCATAAGTGAAGTGTCCCTTCAAGTTAGTCACAGACATGCCCACTGGCACACACACCCTTCTAGGTGTATACAATACTCTCATAATGAGACGATAATAATAATTTGTGATGCATTGCAACAATCAACGCAGATCCTCACATGTTGCCTTTCAGCTAGATATGTGCACATACACGGGGAAATTATGTGGAACACTCCACATGCAACAAAAGAGAAGAGAATCATAGAATTGGAAGGGAAGCACAACTAAAGAAACCTTGAGAGATGGTCATCCACATTCCACCACCTTTCAAGGTAGCCCATTCTACTTTTGAACAGCTCTGGCTGTCAGGAAGTTCTTCCTAATGTTTAGTCGGGATCTCCTTTTTGTAATCTGGATTCACTGGTGCGGATGCTTTCCTCTGGAGCATGAGAAAACAGGTTTGCTGCAACTTCCAGGTGACAGCCCTTTCGATATTTGAAGATGGCTATCATATTCAATTATCTTCTTTTGGAGTGATTTAAGTTGTGTTTTCCCTGAAGTTCCAGAACTTGCACACCATTCTCTTGAAAGGGAAGCACCGTGTCTTTTCATAGCTCCCAAAAGCTCAATTTTGGAGCATACAGAACAAGTCGCTTCCTACATGCCTCCTCCAGAGTGACCCTAGGAGCCAATCCTGAGTGGCTGCCTCTCCTCCTTTTGCTCTGATTGGCTCCAATAATCACAAAGGGAGAAAAGACTTATTCTCAGTGGCTGAAAGGTTCTCCTAGGAGATACTCTATTGAGACACCAAACCACTAAACCTCTGTCTATTCCTAGTCAGTCCATCTACTTCAGTTCTGTAAATCCTGACTGGCAACCGCTAACCATAATTCTAGGCTGGAAACCTTTCCCAGTCCCATATGAAGATATCAGAGATTGAATCTTGGCTTGCTGCAAAAACCCTTCCCCAACTAAAAAATAAATAAATCACATGAAGAAAAGTAATTCCATTGAGCTGCACTTCTTTCCCAAATCAAATATGCAAAGTGAGAAAACCACACCTTGGGCAGAAAGATAAGAGTCTCTACCCGGACCTTCCATTTAAAATGCTGTTAAAGGTAAAGGTAAAGGGACTCCTGACCAATAGGTCCAGTCAGGACCGACTCTGGGGTTGCGGCGCTCATCTCGCTTTATTGGCCGAGGGAGCCGGCGTACAGCTTCCGGGTCATGTGGCCAGCATGACTAAGCCGCTTCTGGCGAACCAGAGCAGCACACGGAAATGCTGTTACACCCTGCATGAATCATGGGAACTGTAGCTTGTTAAGGGTGCTGAGAGCTACAATTAATCACAGAGCTACAATTTCCAGAGTGGTCTAACAATCTATCTCTAGGAACTCTGAGAACTCTGGGAAATTTAGCTCTGTGAGATTAGGGGTCTCTTAACAACTTTCAGCACCCCTAGAAATCTACAATTCCCAGGATTCTTTGGGGGGAGCCATGAGTGTTTAAAGTAGCATATTAGTGATTTAAGTGCATAGTGCTGATGTGGCCTCCTTCACTGTTCTTTCCCACTTCTACCACATGAAAAATGCTGTCAAACCCTGCTTGACTAGCATAGGCATGGACCGCAAACAATCAAACCACAATCAGAAGGGGAAGTTGCTGGGGCTGAGATGGGGGGGGGGGAGAGAGAGAGAGAGAGAAGAGAAAGAGAGAGATGACCTAGAAGGCGACACAGGAAACAGTGGTTTCTTGCATGGCACAGCAAAGCAAACAGGCACCCAACCCACAGCAGATGGTTGTGAAGGATGCAATACCTAAGTAACGCCATCCCTCATCTGCAAAATTGCTTATCCCTCACAGCCCATATAGGACAATGCACAAACAATCCTCTGCAATGCACAAGTTGTTCCATGGAAGACATGCAGGCAATTTGGGCCAGAAAGCCAGAACCCACCCTCTTACCTAGCATAAGTTATTACATTATGGTTGCAGCAGAGAAGGGAGGTAGATGGGATGAAGGACCACCTCAACAGTACAACTGGGAAACCTCCTTGAACTTTTCCACCCAGTCTTTGAAAGCTTGGGCTAAGAACTTGAACGTGAGCTTGCTTACTTCCTCAACCCTCCCAATCCATTTTCCTTTCCTGCTGTTGTCTTGTTCAATTGGAAGCCTGGCAGTATAGTGTGTGATCTCCACATCTCCTTTTTTAAAAAAGTTAATAGTAAGCTGTATAGATAGATGATGGTGGAGAACATACGAAGGACAGAGAAATGAGCTCTTCTTGAAATGGACGCTCGCTTTCTTCAGGGCTGATAGGAAACCAATTTACCTGCCTGGCCAGAGCCAAGAGGGTGAAGAAGAAGACGAAGAACGAGAATGCTCCCATCACCTTAGGCTCCTTCAGCACCCCAGGTCTAAAGGTGGGGGGGATTAAAAAGAAGAAGAAGAAGGGGAAGAAGTGAACATCACTCTTGGGTCATCCCTCTCCCATAATCCTCAAGGTCTCACATCTGAACCAAATATGTCCATGGGAAGCTACATTAAGAAGCACTCTCCTCAGGCATGATTCACAGGAACAAGGGCGAGTCATCTTATTTAGGGTGGGTCAGGAGTGGCTGCTTCTGGACAAATTACACCAGGCATTGCCAAGACGGTTCCACAGATGCAATAGTGCCTTTAAGTCTTTCCCCTGGTGCCTGCAAAGTTTTTAAACGCAACCACATACAGCCCCTTGAGATGGCGACTTTTTCCTCCCTTGAAAAGCACATAGAGCTGAAGGAGGAAGTTGGTAGAGTGGCTCTATTCCCCACTTCCTCTTTCAGCTCTCATGTCTTCATCAAGAACCAGACTGATCATGCTGCAACCAACCCAGATCAATTGGAGAGATGGAGTGTATATGCACACTCAGTCCTTTTTTCAAAAAAAGAGAGATGTTTAGGGGTACTCTCATTTTCCTACTCATATTGAAACACTGCCCCTCAATTAGGCCAAACTTAGATTCACAAAATGTTTAGGGGTATGCGTACCCCTGTGTCCCCCCCCCCAGAAAAAAGCACTGTGCACCCTTCTTCTCTATTTCTTACTGGGGGGAGGGTGGGGAGATGGAGTCCAGAGGGAGCAGCACCCATGACACTCACTCAAAAAAGATCCTCGCTAACATTGCAAATGGCTTGGGTAGCCTTCACTTGGTTTCTGCCTTTATGCCAGGACGTTGCCGCCGGTTCCATGAGGACTAGTTACCTGAGAGCTGTCTGGTTGGGGTAGAGGCGGGAGACGTAGCAGTCGGAGAGCCACGAGTGGGTATGGAGGAACAGCACATTGTAGACGACGAGGCAGAGGGTCAGCATGGTGAGCTTGAGCTCAAAGTTCATGTGCAGGAAGAGGGAACATGAGAGGAACCCCAAGATGCAGCAGTAGATGTAATACTGGAGGGGGAAGAGAGCAGGGCAGTAGAAAACAAAGTGGTTAAAATAGAGGGCTAGACCTCATCAGCAACAGCTTGGGGAAAACAATTGCAACCGAAGGGTTACATCAGGCTTAGGCAAACTTGGCCCTCCAGATGTTTTGGGACTACAACTCCCATCATCCCTAGCTAACAGGACCAGTGGTCAGGGATGATGGGAATTGTAGTCTCAGAACATTTGGAGGGTCCAGTTTGCCTATGCCTGGGTTACATACTTACTGGCACACTGAAGAGAGAGTTAAAGCGAGCAAACTCTTGTGTGGCGTTCAAATTCTGAGCTTTCGAAAAGCAGGACGTCTCTGGCATGAAGAACTAATAATCCGCCCAGGAAAGGAGAGAGAAGGAGAGCTTTAGAAGGGATAAGGCGAGGCACAGGATGGTGACACACGAGTAGCACTGAGTCAAAAATGTCTCCTACCAAATTCAGCACAGCCATGGTGAGGACCACCAGGATGGTGGTGATGCCCAAAGAGACTCGCAGCCACGGCTGGGTGCAGATGCTGTCTGAGATGGACGGGACCCAGGATAAGGATTTTGGACCTTTCAGGAAGCACTTCTGGTGCAAAAGAAGGAGTAAGAAAGAGTCAAGAACATCTGTGGTCCAGTTTTCTTATTTCACCACCCTCATTGCTCCTAACGTTAGATTCTTAAGCAGATAGCTATGAGTTTCTATTGCATCTTAGGAGCCACCTAAGCAAAATTGGGTTGTGCCGATTTCATAAGCTCTATTAAGGGCATAATAAAAGCCTGCTGGATCGGGTCAAGGGCCCACGTAGCGCAGCATCCTGTTCTCGCAGTGGCCAACCAGATGCATTGCTTTGCCTGGCTGTGTCCTTGCATTCTGGTAGCGCCTCCTGCTGGATAGAGGATAGGGAGGTGGGCTTTAAAAAAAAGAGGTTCCCCAACTCTGCAGTCAGGTGACACAAAGCACAGTGTGGGCAGCAAACAGAGGAGTCCCTCACCCCCCGCTTTTGCACCTTAAAATCTCTTCCGCTCTGCTGGTTTCACAAGTGGCTAATTTTGATCGAAGAACCCTGCTGGCAGAAAACAGCTGAGGTTAAGCCATTTTGCTTCCTCTCAATGGTGTCCTCTCTTAGCATGGACAACACAGCTTCAAACTTCAACCCTATAAATAACTCCTGCAAGCAGGGCTACCAAGCTCCTTGTAGCAGCAGCAGGGCCCCAGGAATCCTCCAACCACAATGTTTCATCATATCCGTGCTCTGACAGCCCGGGGAAAAAAAGAGAGAAGTGGCAAAGGGCCATAGCTCAGGTCCTGTGATTTGTTCCCCGGCATCCATCTATCCCTCCCCTCCATCCAGAGAAAAACACCCCAGCTGAAACTGCTGACAGCCAGTGTCAGCGATACTGAGCTAGATGGGCCAATGGGTTGACTGGGTGCAAGGCTGCATCCCACATTCCTTAGGGAGGCTGGGAAAGTTGCATGATGGGTGTTAGGTTGGTGGTGAACATATCAGACAACACAGCGATTCTCCAAACACCTCTTGTTTATTCACAGGCCAGAACTGAACTGAACTGAAGGGTTCAGCCAGCCTGCTTATATAGAGCTCCAGTACAACGTAACTGTAACTTTCTGTAACTATCCAATCACTGAACGTCACTTTCGATCCCCTTATGTGGACCTGAACTATCTACAGTATCCCCCTGCTGGCCCAGGGTGAGAACTTCAGTACATAACAATGGTTGAGAAGTAAAATCAGCACGACTTACTGCCAAGTGGCCTGCAAAACAGGTGAGGAGGAGGAGGAAGAAGAGGAAGAAGGAAATTCCATAGGATATCCCCAATGCTTCTGTCCTGGATGGAAAGAGCAGACAAGGCAACCAAACATGGCATGCATTTTTCATTTAAACTTTTTGTTCCCCTTCTGCTGATTCTGTGAAGGAGCCAGGCATTAGACCCATAGAGCTGGAATGGACCATGCAGAAGACATCATCCAGCATCTTTCAGACACAAGATGTGCGCTGTTAGGAGGGATAGAGAGCCTGTTGCCCTCCAAGTGTTGCCCTCCAAGCCCCAGCCCTCAAGGGTCATCTAGTCCAACCCCCTGCAATGCAGGAATCTTTTGCCCAGTGTGGGCCTTGAACCCACAACCCTGAGATTAAGAGTCTCATGCTCTACCGACTGAGCCACAGGTTCCCCATCTCTGATAGGTAGCCATTCATGCTCTGCTTAAAAAATTTCTAACAAGGGAGAGTCCATCATTTCCCAAAGCTGTCTGCCACTGCTATTAAACAGCTCCTGCTGTCAGGAAGTTCTTTCTAATGTTTAGCAGAAATCCCCTTTCTTGAACCCCATTCACAAAAGTATGCACCCCTTGGCATACTCAGCATCCTACAAGCGTGTCATTTCCCACAAGGCACTGCTCACCATTTCCAGACTTATCTGTACCTCTATGAGGACTAGAAACTCATTCTTGGTTCCATTCAGTGCTAGATTCAAATGAACTGCCTGCTTTGATGTTTTAAAAGCCAAGCAAGGCTTTGATCATTGCAGCCGCATGACAACTTTTTGCCTCAAATAGTCTAGCCCAAGAAAATGCTGTTGGACTCCAACTCCCATCAATCAGCTCCAGAAAGCACAGCCAACGGTCCAAGGATGATGGGAGTTGTAGTCCAATGTCTGGAAACACATAGGTCCCCAGCCCTGGTCTAATCTAATTTGGGGTGAACACCTAAACATACTTACTAGAAGGTAAAACCCACAGATCTCTGTCACACGTAATATCCAAGTAAACACACTTATGGGTACGCTGGCCAACTTAAAAAGGAAAGCACCTCCTTCTTTCCAAATTAAGGCCGTTACAAGTGACAGATGGGGAATTCCATTGTGCCCAGAGGGAATATCTCCCCTCCAACCCTCTTTTCTACAATCTCCATTCTACAACTTTCATGGGGAGTTTGCTTTGGTTTACCATTAGCTATCACTCAAGCAGAAGAAGAGCTCTGCTGAACCTGAAAGCCTGCACACCATTTTCATCCCACTGCAAAAAGCATGGGGGGGGAGGATTCCAGCCAGGCAGGCATGCACAACAGGAGCAAAGGATGGCATCTCCCCCTCTTATCGCATTCCTGTCTCAATCCAAGTCAGACCCCTCTATCGCTTGGGGGAGGAATTCAAGCGCATACCAGGAAATAGAGGTTTGCGCAGTGGAAGTGGTTTAAAGCGCTCTGTCAGCCTAGCCCAAGAAATCCACTTTGAAAATAAAAACAGACCTTTTGTGGTTAGGAAAGTGATTGGGAAATGCATTGAAAACTGTGGGATGGATGAATGATTAAACACCCTGCAAGCAAATCTTATTATCTTATAACTGCCCCCACAAACTAATCAAAATGAATGTTCTATAATAATTGAAAGCAGCGTCCTTCTAGACTGCTGGGGTGGTGGGGTGTTGCCCCAAGTCATTGATGCATAAGCGGTGGATTTATACTGGACGGTCCAGACATCATTTCACTTTGTGAAATGTTCTGCAATGCTTTCCCAGCCTTTGCTGCCTGGAGGGGAATTCTTGTGCAACAAAAAGCAGTACGAAAAATAAACCAGAGCAGTTATGATAAAAAAATCACACAGGATTTCAGAAAGTTATGGGGCATGCATCAGTTTGAAACAATACAGTATCTCTTCCCCCAGACTTCTGCAGGTGTAGAAAGTATTGAAAGCTGGATAATACAGTATATAACCACCCCAATACCACCCTGAGCATCATGAATGCACAATTAAAAGAGACATCTGGTGGGCCAAGTAGTCTAACCGCTGCATAAGCTTTGTGCAAGCAAATCAGGATACATGCTCAATAAACAGGTCATCTAGGGGAACCCTTAAAAAAAGTAACCAGTTATGTAAAACCCCAAAAGGCAAAGTATTCACATGCTTTGGGGTCCAGTTCTGCCTACATAAATAACTCACCCACCCATCCTCTCCTCACCCTCTTCCTGCTTACTTGTAAACCACGAGGATCTGGATGAGGAAGTTGGAGAGGAAAACCAGGAAGGTGCAGGCCGTGTAGTAATTAAAAGATGGGAGTGCGGAGAGACGATACTGGAGAAGGCAAAGAGAGAGAACCCAGGGTGAGCAACTGTGAAAACAAGGTCAAGGGCTGCTCTGCACAACATCCCCACTTTGTTGTGCATCATTTTCTGTGGGAATGTTGTGGATAGTAGGAGAGGATATATTGATGAAATATTATCTTTCCTCACTCACTCTAATGAGTCAGTAGCAGAGTACATTCCCCAGTATATTGCAGGAAGCTACAGTAGTTGGTAGATTCGTCTGAAACTCTTTACTTAAGCAATTCAATCTGGTTCGTCCAGATTGGGTTTATTCCTGGTAAATCCCCTTTGTTCCCTCTCAAAAAGTAATGATAAGAAGTTTACTTACATTCAGTTCGCAGTAGGTTCCCTGAAGGCAGACTTTAGCTTTTAGTTACAGAAAAGAGAGTGGGTTCATCCCATGTAGGGAAATGAGCCCATGAGCTGCTGGCTGAGGGCCAGCAGACAGCAAAATCATCAAAAGGGAACAGAATCAAGAGAAGCAGAAGGGAAGATGGCCATGTGACCAGCCCTTTTATGGGGTCACCCAGGGTAACACCCATCTACCTGGTCACACGCAGAGGGAGGATGCTCCAGACAGGTGTGACAGGAAGTCCTCCTGGCTGCAGTAACATCCCCCTGTGTGTCCGCTCAGGGCAAACAGGAAGTGTTGTACTTGACTGCTTATGTTACATCCCACTTTTTCAGCCTTCTGCAGAGGCAGAGCATATCATAGCTAGTAGCCACTCTTAGCCTCATCCTCCATGAATTAGCCTAATTCTCTTTTAAAGACGTTCAGGTTGGCGTTCATCACTACATCTAGCGGGAGTGAATCCCAAATCTTATTTCAGTACCAAGAAGCAAAAGGAGGGCTGCCCCTGCTGCCCTTCTACATTTGCCACCTGGGGCCTCACTCTGCCTAATTCTAGGGACGAGCCTGACTTCATATTGGAGCGTTCAACAAACAAACAAACACCCAAGTCCTTTACCTCCTTCTCAAGGGATTTTTCCTTGAAGTACAGCGTGATGCGATTCAAATCTTCTGATTCCTTCCATTGCCTGCAGGGGAGAAGTGTAGGGAAAAATGGGAGATTTTTCCTTGGGCAACATTCCCACCTGCTTCCACCCATCTACCTCTCTTTAAAATGGAGATTAGATTTGGCCCCAGATTCCCTTGCAACCCACAAACTCATAGTCAAACAGGGAGACAGGCATGGTTGTTTTACAGTAGTGAATGTGGCGTATGGGAGGCATTGGGTATCTCATGCGATAGTAGATAGGTAAAGGGCTTGACAAACAGTCAATAGTAATGATTTAATAATAAAATAATTTTATCATTTATATGCCGCCCATCTGACTGGGTTCCCCCAACCACTCTGGGAGGCTCCCAACAAAATATCAAAAACTCAGTAAAAACAAAGAGCAGGCGAACTGGTTCCTAGCACTGTTTGTGATTGGGGGAGAAGAGGTACTGTATTTTTTGCCCCATAGGAAGCACTTTTCCCCCTCCAAAAATGAAGGGGAAATGTGTGTGTGTCCTATGGGGCGAATGCAGGCTTTCGCTGAAGCCTGGAGAGCGAGAGGGGTCAGTGCGGACTGATCCCTCTCGCTCTCCAGGCTTCAGGAAGCTCTCCACAAGCCTTGGGAGCCCGGCACGACTTCCCGCCGGGCTCCCAAGGCTTGCGGACAGCAGCCTGCATCCCGAAGCCTGGGGCGCGCTGAGCAGCACGCCCCGGGCTTCAGGCAGATATCCGCAAGCCGGGGGAGACCGGCGGGAGTTCCCACCGGGATCCCCAGGCTTGCGGATAGCAGCCTGTTCTGGGGGCTGGGGTCGGGGGAAGCTCAGGCTTCCCCCGCCCCAGCCCCGCGCCTGGGGGGAAAATAATTTTTTTTTCTTTATCCCCCCCAAAAAAAACTAGGTGCACCCTATGGGCCAGTGCGCCCTATAGGGCGAAAAATACGGTAGGTTCTCCTCCTCTCCTTTTCCTTTGCTCTTTTTCTGTACTTTTTTGCTTTTCTTGCTATGTATGATCCACTGCAACAGGAAACAGGACTCCTGTAGCAGTGGTGCAGGAAGCAGAAACTTCGAAGGCGCAGCTCCTCTTATTCCTGCAATGCAATGACGTGACAAGCTGCACTCACCCAAATGCCCTCTTGTGTGCCATTATTTCATGCTAGCAGAAGCCCTTTCCTCTGTTGCATCTGATTTTGTAATTATCCCTGCTTCTTTCCTGTGCCTCCGTTTTCCTCTCCCCACCCCACCCCTCTCACAGTCTCATTGACGCACTTCTGCGAGTTAAGCTGTTCGATGAGCTGAAAGAACTTCTCGTCTACTCCTTCCAGGTCTTCATCTGGGCTCCTGGGGGCACGCCCCCTGTAATACAGCCAGGAGAGGAGAAAGAGTGAGCAGGGTATTGAGGAATCGCACAGAAATCAAAGAAACGCAACGTGAAATGCCCGAACAGCACAACAGAGAGAATAAAACAGACAGCAGAGGGCACGACTGAGTAAGCAACTGGACTCCCAATGTTCTGCATCTAAGATGGGAAAGTGGGGGGTATTTTACCAGCTGGTAGGCCAGGTCCTCACTTCTCCCAACCCCCATCACCTGGCATCACCATGGCACACTGGTCCGCACAACTTGCAAGCCCCACTTCTGGCAGGGATCTTAAGTCAACAACAACATTCCTCCCCTCAACTCAACGGGAAATAGGAGTTAGGAAGCGTTTAGCACAACCTTCCACAATCTGGCACCCTTTGGATTTTGCTGGACTCCATCGCCCATCAGCCCCAGCCAGCATGGTCACACACACCATGAGGTCTCTGGTCAATTCAGGATGTTCACCCAGCTTCCCCTCCCAAGATTAATTCTGGTACCCTCCACTGTGCCACTAAACTTACTGCAGACAAGGGGTGGTTTAGGTGGCCCCAGAGCATCCTTGCCTTGTTCTAGGGCTCACATACATTGAGAGACCTACCTAGCTGACAACAGAAGCCTAAGGAATTGTGGCAGATTCCATGAGACTCCCATTCCATCTCAGGGTGGCTCTGCAGTCATTGGAACCACAGGCTTAACATGCAATTCTAGCCATGGAAGAACTCTAGCCCCACAGATCTGCAGAACATCACAGCACCCGCAGAAGGAAGCTAGACCGCAACATCCTGGCTCCAATCCACAGTGTGATAACACCAGACACAATGTACATTTTGCTCTATCTCTTCCTCTCCCCCCCCCCATTCTTTTCTCAGTAATCTATTTGCTTGTTGGCCTCTTCCTCCTCTCCCCCCTCTAAACAAGATACCCCCCTTGTTACCGTTCCAAGGTCTTCTGCTGGTTCAAGGACCCCAGAGAGATCTCCTGCAAGAAAACAGAAACACTTGTTGCCTTCAACTGTAGGGACACAGCCGAGAGCCTGAATGCTCCCAGGGAGCCTCTTCGCCTAGCTTCCATCCAAATTTGTTTGCACGGAAGCTAGACAATGTCAAATACCGTATTTTTCGCTCTATAAGACGCACCAGACCATAAGACGCACCTAGTTTTTGTAGGAGGAAAACAAGAAAAAAAATATTCTGAATCTCAGAAGCCAGAAAAGCAAGACGGATCACTGTGCAGAAATCCCTCTTGCTGTTCTGGCTTCTGGGATAGCTGCGCAGCCTGCATTCGCCCCATAAGACGCACACACATTTCCCCTTACTTTTTAGGAGGGAAAAAGTGAGTCTTATAGAGCAATAAATACGGTATTTATTGAGCAAATTGTTTGCAGGGAAATAAGAGGCTGCTAAATCAAGCAAACCTTATCCCACATTTTCCGGTGCATTTTCCTATCACTTTCCTTATTGCACAATAATACAATCCTTTCTCTTTTTTTGCGGAGGGGGAGGGTAGGTTTGTGGGGCAAATCCTCCAGATCAGCTTTAATTTGGAAACCTGAATTTGATGGTTTATGATTGAAATGACAGCCTGGAAGCTCCCTTAGACAGTGCTGCCAAATGGACAACCTGCAATATTCATCTCACAGCTAGAGCACATTCGCATTATAGAGCAGGCACCCCCAAACTTGGCCCTCCAGATGTTCTGGGACTACAGTTCCCATCATCCCTGACCACTGTTCCTGTTAGCTAGGGGTGATGAGAGTTGTTTCCCAAAACATCTGGAGGGCCAAGTTTGGGGGTGCCTGTTACAGAGGGACTGCTAAAGGTTCTGCCTTTAGTTGAGGGTGTATTTAGGAAAGTAGGAAGCTACCTTATACTAAGTCAGACCACCTAGCTCAATACTGTCTACACTGACTGGGAAAAGCTCTCCAGGTTTTCAGACAAGGAATCCTTCCCATTTCTATCTGGGGACACTGAGGATTTAACCTAGGACCTTGTTTGTGCAAAGCAGATGTTCTACCACTGAGCCATGGTCCTTCCTCCTGCAGCAGGAGATGGGCGCCCACACTTGCCACTCATTTGCAAATTCCTCTGACATCATTGCTAATGATGCATTTGGCACACACAGGAAGACATCTTATACTGAGTCAGACTATGGGGCTCACCTAGATTGGTGTTCTTGACACTGACTGGAAATGCATCTCTGGGGTTTCAGGCTGGGGAAATTACCAGACCCACCAGGAAAAGCTGGGGAGGGACCTTTTACAAGCAAAGCAGATGCTCTCTCATGCGGCTAGGGCATGGCATCTAGCTAGGCCCTGATTCTCATGCAACTGGCAGCATCTAGCAGCAGAAAGAAAAAGACTAAGGGCCCATCCACACCTCCACTTAATGTGAAATGCATACCCCCATGTGCCTCTTAATCCCCCCTTGTCCATACAATGTTCACCAGAAACAGCTGCTGTCCTGGACTTTCTCCTGCGAAAACCCTGTCCTTGGAAAATCTGGAAAGAGATCTGCGGACAGCTTTCTGTGGATGCCTTTGACTTTTTTTTGGGGGGGGGGGGGTTGTGAGAATCTAGAAAAAGACACTTCTAATGCACCTCCTCCCTCATTTTCCACCCTTCCTGCAAATACTGTATCGGCCCGAATATAAGCCGCACCGGCAAATAAGCTGCACCTTAAAAATTTGGCGACTTGGGGGAGGCTTGGGAGCCGCGGACGGGATGGTCGCCATTGCCCTGCGCTTCTGAGCTGATCGGAGGGGGGGTGCACCGCTTTGCCGGCAGGCTCCCCCCTCCGCCCCCTTCGTTCTGACAGCTATGGGGAGGCTTGGGAGCGGCAGGCAGGCTAGGCATAGTTGCCCCATGCTCCCAGGCTGCTTTTGGCGGGGGGGGGGGAGCTGTGCTGCTTTGTTGGCGGCGTATGGTCGTGAATATAAGCCGCACTTTAACTGTTAATGATCAGAATGGGGGGGGGGAGTGTGGCTTATATTCGGGCCAATACGGTACATTGGGTCCAATTTGTGTTTCTAGTTGAAGTCTCTTCCATTTCCGCCTTGAATCTGCAACACAACTGCTTCCCCCTGCTCTATCTTTACACTATGTGCTTAAATGGAACTTAGGAATTTGGAAGCCGCCTTATACCGAGTCAAACCATTGGTCCATCTTGCCCAGTATTGTCTGCAGTGGGTGGAAGACGCTCCCCCAGGGCTTCAGACAAGAGTGTCTCCCAGCCCTACCTGAAGAAGCCAGGGGTTGAATGTGCTCCCCTTTAGATGAGCTACAGCCCTTCCCCCAAAAAAACAGAGGTTCCCAGAAGCATGTGAGCAGGTGAGGAGGTTATTTTATCCCAGATCTCAATGGCCGTAGGAAAGGTGCTTTGAAACTTCTGCCGTTCACCTTCTCCTCCCTATTTTTCTCAAAGCGCAGAAGAGAAAATGGTGGCACCTGGATTCTCCCCAAAGAGCGACATTTCCAGCAAAGCAACTGTGGTTTTAAGACATGCTTCCGAAAATCATGTGCGGCAGTGAGATGGTTTTCTTATCCTGCACTATCAATACCCACGCCATGTAAAATGTACTTGTGAACTCTAACACCTTCCCCCACCCCCTTCCTGGATAACCCTACATTTTGTGCTTGAATGCAGAACTGCAAATAGCAGACAAGCACTTTGTGTCTGTCAGTCCTGGCCCACAAGTGGTTAGAGCGCTGCACCAGGATGTGAAAGATACAGGTTCAAATCCTCACTCAGCCATGAAGCTCGCTGGGTGACCTTGGGCCACTCACTCACTCTCAGCCTAACCTACCTCACAAGGCTGTTGTGAGGATAAAACAGGGAGGAGATGAACGATGCATGCCACATTGAGCTTCTTGGAGAAAAGGAGAAGAAGAAGAGTTTGAATTTAATATCCCGCTCCATCACTACCCGAAGGAGTCTCAAAGTGGCTAACATTCTCCTTTCCCTTCCTCTCCCACAACAAGCACTCTGTGAGGTGAGTGAGGCTGAGAGACTTCAGAGAAGTGTAATTGGTCCAAGGTCACCCAGCAGCTGCATGTGGAGGAGCGGAGACGCGAACCTGGTTCACCAGATTACGAGTCTACCGCTCTTAACCACTACACCACACTGGCATGCAATGAAACAAGGAAATAAGGAATAGGCATGCAATGAAACAATGATAGTAAGAAACCTGTGAGCTTTTAACATGCACTGCATTTTGTATCTTGCTTCAAAGACGTGTGAGTGCGGTTGATAAGATAATCTCATTTCTGCTCTCCTGTCTAAAAACACGCTTTTGAACCTTTGCACATAAGCTCAGATGGACTAGAGAGAGCAGAAGAAGCTTCTCCGTAATCCATTTTGCCAAAATAAACATGGCAGCTGAACAGGGGGCAGCTCAGGAAACAAGAAGAATTGCCGATGAAAGAAGAATGGCAGTTGAAAGTAATGGACTATGCAGAATTAGATAAGATGACAGGAAGGATTCTAAACCTGCGGGACCAGAGATTCTCAAAAGATTGAAATAAATATGCGAACTATTTGAAAAGCAACTGTAATCAGCAGATTATGCAAGCAGTTTTGTAAGGAGGACTATATGAAATATTGCAAGGAAGATTATGAAGAGAGTTATTAGTTAAAGATTATTAAAAGTAATAGAGAAATTAAGAAATGTAAATCAAGTGAAAAAGATTGAAAAATCTTCAGATGCGGTTGATGGAAGTCTAAAAATTGTATATCATATAAATTATGTTAAAAAATTAATAAAAATATATAAAAAGAAAAGAAAAGGGGCAGCTCAAAGGGCTTGAGGGTTCTCAGCACATGTCCTTGCATTGACATGAGCACAACCTGCTGGACGTACCGAGTAGTTGCTCCTGACAAACCCTGCTGGTTCTGCGGGGAGGTTGTCGAGGTGTTTGAGGTTGGCAAAGGGCTTGGCTGCCCCCCACGACTCCAAGTAGCGAGTCATCCGCGCTGGAGCCCTCATCTTGTAGCCCTCACCTGGCGCAGGTGAGAGGGTGCCACTGGAGGTCTCTTCTTCAGCCTAAAGACAACAGGAACCAGAAGAGCAAGTGGAAATCCTGAGTGACAAACCCCAGCCAGCGGCATCCATATATCCCTTAATGGCAGCTCTCAACGGCTTGACATAGATGCTACATAGCATTGGGGTCAAAAGTGTGCCCTGAGATTGGTCCCAACTAGGGCCAGGGCCTTTTCAGTACTGGCCCCGACTTGGTGGAATGCTCTGTCACAAGAGACTAGGGCCCTGCGGGACTTGACAGCTTTCCACAGGGCCTGCAAGAAAGAGCTGTTCTGCCTGGCCTTTGGTTTGGACTGAGTCTGACCCTTATGTTGCCCTCCCCTTATGGTCTTGATCTATTGGCTACTTTTAAAATGAGGCTGCATTTTAATTTGCATTTTAACTTGTATTTTAAATTGGGTTGGGGGTTTTTCTCTCTCCCCCCCCCTCCAATTATGTTTTTACTGTGATTTTATTGGTGTTAGCCGCCCTGAGCCTGGCTCTGGCCAGGGAGGGCGGGGTATAAATAAATTTTATTTATTTTTATGCCAAGGGGCCAATGAGCATTCCCCCAGAGCCAATCTGTGGAACCCACTGTGGAAGAGTGTAACCAATAGGCAGGGGCATAGGAGGGCGGGTGTGTGGGGGGGGTGCATCGCCCCAGGCATCATCCATGGGGGGGTGACAAAATGGCACACTGCAGGGGTCGGCACTTACCGCGGGGCCTGGCCTGCAGCGTGCCCGAGCCACGTATCTCTCCTGGGAGTGACGCAGCGACTCGGGGCCCCACACTGCCCGAAATAGCAGCATGGGGCTTGCGTCTACCAGGTGGACTCTGTGGGCAGCTCGTAGCGCTGCCCCCCTGGGCGGATCGCTGTGGTGCCCCTGTGCACGGATTGCCCTGGCGCCCCCATGCACAGTTCGCCACAGCACCCCCATAGGCGGCTCGCCACGCCCCCACCGCTCCGGGTGCCAGAGCAGCTAGCTACACCCCTGCCAATAGGGTTGCCATATTTCAAAAGTGCTGAGCTTTTTTTGGGGGGGAGGGTAAAGTTGCTGAGCTTTTTCTGCAAAATCTCCAAAATAATTGAAGTTTTTGAGCTTTTATGGTAAAGGAAATTTACCATAAAATCAACACTTCCAATATGGGTGGCCAGACATTTTTACTGATTTTCACATATTCCACCCAAACGCTATTTCCGATGGACAAATCCAAGATATGTCCAGGAAATCCTGGACATATGGCAGCCCTAGAACATACATCTCACAAAGCCAACCCAGGAGGATACCGAGGCCAATGTTATCAAAAGTTGCGGGGAGATCAAGGAAAAGAAGCAACATTAGACCCTGAATATCCTTATCCTAATAGAGATCATTGATAAGGGCAACCAAGACTGAGTGGGTTCCAAAACCAGGTTTGAAATCAGATTAATATGGGTTTACAGCAGCCTTTCTCTACCATGGGTCCCACCTTGTTGGACTACAACTCCCATCATCCCTGCCCACTGGTTCTGCTAGCTAGGGATGATGGGAGTTGTAGTCCAACAATATCTGGGGACCTGAGGTTGGGAAAGGTTTGTCTAGATAGTAAGTTTCACCAAAGTATACCTGCAGCTGCTCCACCACAACCATCTCAATCTCTTTTCCAAGAAGTGATGGAAACTGGCTGATAACTATCTATCACAGACTAGGAAGTCCAGGTGAAGCTTTTTTCCTTTTTTCCCTCTCCCCTAAAAAGTGGATGCACCACCTCCAGTTTCAAAGCAGATCTCCTCACCCTGGGGTCAACGACCAGGAAGGTTTTGATTTTGTTCTCCCTCAGGTAAGAGTCTCGTGGCCAGAAACAAACTTCCTCCACAGCGTAGGCCCCACCCAGGTGCAGCAACGTGGCCTCCGTGATATGAACCCTCCTGAAAGGGAAAAGAGATGAGAATGTAGACGGATACAGAAGAGGGAAGCCAAGGACACAGAGGTACAGTTCCCCCCATTTAGGACATTTCCCTGCATGCACCACTAGAGGTCACCCCAGATGGCAGATCGAGTCCTAACTATGTATACAGTGGTACAGTGGTGCCTCGCAAGACGAAATTAATCCGTTCCGCGAGTATCTTCGTCTAGCGGTTTTTTCGTCTTGCGAAGCAACCCTATTAGCGGCTTAGCGGATTAGCTGCTAAAAGGCTATTAAAGGCTTAGCGGCTTAGAAAAAGGGGGGGGGAGCGGAAAAAAAATCTCAAGACTCGCAAGACATTTTCGTCTTGCGAAGCAAGCCCATAGGGAAATTCGTCCTGCGAAGCGAATTGAAAACGGAAAACCCTTTCGTCTAGCGGGTTTTCTGTCTTGCGAGGCATTCGTCTTGCAGGGCACCACTGTACGTCGGGTTAAGTACAGTGGTACCTCACGTTAAGTACTTAATTCGTTTCGGAGGTCCGTTCTTAACCTGAAACTGTTCTTAACCTGAAGCACCACTTTAGCTAATGGGGCCTCCTGCTGCCGCCACGCCACCGGATCACAATTTCTGTTCTCATCCTGAAGCAAAGTTCTTAACCTGAAGCACTGTTTCTGGGTTAGCCAAGTCTGTAACCTGAAGCGTATGTAACCTGAGGTACCACTGTACTTAATTCATTCTAGAGGTCTGTTCTTAACCTGAAACTGTTCTTAACCTGAAACACCACTTTAGCTAATGGGACCTCCCGCTGCTGCCGTGCCGCCACCACGCGATTTCTGTTCTCATCCTGAAGCAAAGTTCTTAACCCGAGGTACTATTTCTGGATTAGCGGAGTCTGTAACCTGAAGCGTATGTAACCTGAAGCGTATGTAACCCGAGGTACCACTGTACAACAGAATGGACAGACTGTTCATCATACAATAACTCAGGGGCAGAGGAAGGGGTTCGGTGGGGGCAGTCTGCCCCAGGTGTCACCACTGAGGGGGGTGACAAAACACCAGGTGGCACTAACCCGTAGCCCTCCCGAGCCACGCATCTCTCCTGGGAGTGACACAGTGGCTTGAGCTGCCCCAAATGGTCTGCCCGCCGCCTCCCCCTCAGCTGTAGGGTGGCTGTGTGGGAGGAGGCAGGCAAACTCCTTGAAGGCCCCACGGGGCATCCTGCCCCGGCTTGCCCCACTCCGCGGGCAGGTGGACCCACCCCTGGACACAGGGCATGCGCGTCGTCCCAGGCGCCCAATTGGCTTGCTCTGCCACTGCAATAACTGTCAACGAATACACACAAATTCATGTAATTCCTCTTCCCTGCCTCCAGGGAACAGCAGTGCCCACATATTTCAGTCAACCGCTGAGAAGCAACAAAAGGTATTATTTTTCAAGGGAGCATTGGAACACTGTGTTGGAATCCTTTATTTGGATATAGTTTATAATGGAGGTGGAGAACTGATAGCTAATTTAATTGCAATGTCTACAACATTAAATAGCGGTAAAGTGGTCAACTGGCCAGTATTGTCCCAGCCTGAGCAGTAAAATACTCTTCTGGCAGGGAACCTGTATTGGGATCTGAAAAGCCAACAAAGGCCAGATTTTCCCAGCCTTTACCCTTTAACCCACCAATCTCTACGAAGCTCCACTTCTACCCACCATTTTTGGCCAGCCTCTGCTCCTAACCTAGCAGTCTCCACCTGAAACTCACCGCATCACATTCTCACAAGATGTGGAGCCACCAGTTTCAGGCAGGCTCCACCCCAAACCACCACATTCCATTAAGCTCCACCTATAAATTTCAGTCAGGCTCCACCCCTATCCTAGTAGGCTCCACCCCTAACCCAACATCTTCTACTAAGCCCACAGCTACCTACCAATTCCATCCAGGCTCTGCCCCTAAACTGCTAAGCTTTGCCACCTCCAGCCCACCAGATCCCTCGTTGCGTGGCAAGGTCCCAAACCCTACCGGGAAGTGGAATAAAGACAAATGGAACAGTATTTTAGGTTAATGGGCGAAAAAGGCCACAGCTTTATTGGTTACAGAATGTGAGTGGTATTGGCTTAGGCACTGGAAACCACTCGACTATATCTGACTCCTGTCCGTCTGCAGGAGTCTTGGAAGGGTTGACCACCAGAAGGGGGAGCCCTGCTGATTCACATCAACTAGGAACTCCCCCAGGGTCACCACTAGGGGTCGTGCCATGGCCCTAGCTCCCCGTCTGGGGCTTTGGACAGGACCACACCACTCAGATTCCTTTAACGGAATACCCTTGAAATAGGAGGGGTAGGTGATGGCCACTACCTCCCCTCACCTTCAACCTAATACTCCAATGCCTAACCGCCAAACTTTACAAAGTTGTGACAAATTGCTATGAAGTAGGCGAAAAATTAAATGGCTGGTGCCAATTTGCCAAGTGGAAAATATTCCTGCCAGGCCCCTGTTAAAAAAACAGGTGACCAACCAAAGTCCATAGCAAGGTCAGGAGATAAAGAGCCTAACCTAAGGGAGGGGGGGTAGGAGAACTGACCGAGCAGGAATATGTCCCCGGCCGTGGGCAGTTTAAATATCCCGCGCTACGCCTCTGGACCGTCCAGATTGGTGAGCCTTGGGTTGACGCGGCCTAGGACCAACCAATGGCGCAGGGGCTATCCCACCCGCTTGCTCCCAGCCCGCAACATCATCTCCCCGGGTACGGGAAATGGCTTTGTCTTGGAGTTTGATTCTTCCAGTCCCAACCTGGGACCGACAAGATTCTGGGTCTAGCTCCTGCCCTAGAACTACCGCAATACACCAGGGTCTGCTTGGTCACTACTTTCATTGTATCTCGATAGCATTATAGCAGCAGTAGAGACTGCATTCTGTCCCACAAATAGCAACACAGTCAAAAGTGTATCATCAGTTACAGTGGAACCTCGGGTTATGTACCGTCCTCCTTACGAATGCTTTGGGTTACGAGCTCCGCTAACCCGGAAGTAGGTGTTCCGGGTAGCGAACTTTGCCCTGGGATGCGAGCGGAAGTCGTGCACCGGCGGCGTGATGGCAGCAGGAGGCCCCATTAATGAAAGCACGCCTCAGGTTAAGAACGGTTTCGGGTTAAGAACGGACCTCCGGAACGAATTAAGTTCATAAACGGAGGTACCCCGGATTTGTTTGGTTGTTGCTGAGATTCCTTGCTAGGTCACTAGCGGCCAGCCTGGACTGCATACACCAAGAACCAAAGCCTTTTCTGGACCAAAGTGGGAGCATTCCCTCTCACCATGTCGCTTCCCTCACCCTGGCACACCTCCTGCTTCCATGTGATTGGCTAGCGTCACATCATCGGACCAGACGTCGTACTGCCACTTCTGGAGCCCAATCACCCCACACAGGACGTTCCCCGAATGGACTCCAACTCTCATGTTGATGTCCACTCCGGTGGCATCACGCAGCTTCCTATTTGTGAGAGGACAAACAGGACAAAATAAGTTTGCATTTTATTTAAAATGCCTGAACCAAATTAGTAACGAAATAAATGGAAGCGATTAAAAGTGAGGGGGGGAGGGACACACCTCTGTATTTCAGAAATTAAAATAGCAAGTCAGACATCACCTTGCCGACAAAGGTCCGTATAGTTAAAGCTATGGTATTCCCGGTAGTGATGTATGGAAGTGAGAGCTGGACCATAAAGAAGGCTGATCACCGAAGAATTGATGCTTTTGAATTATGGTGCTGGAGGAGACTCTTGAGAGTCCCATGGACTGCAAGAAGATCAAACCTATTCATTCTGAAGGAAATCAGCCCTGAGTGCTCACTGGAAGGACAGATCGTGAAGCTGAGGCTCCAATACTTTGGCCACCTCATGAGAAGAGAAGACTCCCTGGAAAAGACCCTGATGTTGGGAAAGATGGAGGGCACAAGGAGAAGGGGACGACAGAGGACGAGATTCGGACAGTATTCTCGAAGCTACCAGCATGAGTTTGACCAAACTGCGGGAGGCAGTGGAAGACAGGAGTGCCTGGCGTGCTCTGGTCCATGGGGTCATGAAGAGTCGGACACGACTAAATGACTAAAGAACAACTCAAAATGTAAAAGGTGAAGGACCCCTGGACGGTGAAGTCCAGTCAAAGATGACTATGGGGTTGCGATGCTCACCTCACTTTCAGGCTGAGGGAGCTGGTGTTTGTCCGCAGACAGCTTTCCGGGTCATGGGTCAGCATGACTAAACCACTTCTGGCGCAACAGAACACTTTGATTTAAGCCAGAGTGCACAGAAATGCCATTTACCTTCCTGTCACAGCAGTACCTATTTATCTACACTGGCGTGCTTTCAACCTCAGTTGGCAGGAGCTGGGGCAGAGCAACGGGAGCTCACTCTGTTGTGGGGATTCAAACTGCTGACCTTCCGATCACCAAGCCCAAGAGGCTCACCCACATCCCTAACAAGTCATAACATTCTACTAGCCTTTTTTAAAAGAAGTCAGGGAGTAATTAAATATCAGTTGGTAGAACATGAGACTCTTAATCTTGGGGTTGTGAGTTTGAGCCCCACCTTGGGCGGGGGGGGGGGGTTGGAATAGAAGACCCTTGGGGTCCCTTTCAACTCTACAATTCTATGATTCTATGTTGCTGGACTACATCTCTCATAAACCCTGCCTGTTGACTATGCTGGCTGGGACTGATGGGCGTTGGAGTCCAACAAGATCTGAGATGAGTAAGTGGGCATCAGGTTGAAGAAGTCTTATCCAGAGCTACGGTTCTCAAAGTGGGTGGTATTGTCCCCACCCCGGAGGTGGGATTACCTAGGGGGCACTAAGAGGCAAGGAATGGCAGTGGGGCACTGGAGGTAGGTCCCTCCAAGTGCTTTGATCTCTTATTCGTGAGTGGCCAGGCTAGAGCTAGAGCAAAACACCTTCCTCTGTTCATATGCAACGTTTTATGGCTCTTGTTGCTTCCAGAGCTCTTTCCTTTGGTCACATTTGTATGTACGATTCTAAATTGTTGAAAGATAGCCATTAGTCATGGCTGGTATCGCTGTATCGAGTTCATTGATTCTGTTGAATTAATTAAACTAAATAGTTTTAACTGGGTTTTGAATAAATGTGCAATTCATTGTTACTGTTTTGAATTCTATTGTGTTACTATCTTCCTTAGCGGGCCATGCAAAGCACTATTCTAAATAATATATTTTTGTAGGGTAGGGTAGGGGAGCACCGGGGATGAGTTTATGGCCTGAAAAACCTGGGGACCACTGATCTAGAGATTGCAGGCTCATACTGGGAGAGACAGTCCCTGAAGTAACCTGGGCCCAGGACATTCAGGACTTTAAAGGCGAATTATCTGTGGAAATTAATTATTTTATTTATTTATTTATACATACATACATACATACATACCCACCCCACCCATCTGGCTGAGTGTCTGCAGCCACTCTGGGTGGCTGCCAATCGAATGTTTAAAACAATACAGCATTAAATATTAAAAACTTCCTTAAACATATATAGCTTACAATATAGCTTAGCAATATGTTAGGTAAAGGTAAAGGGACCCCTGACCATTAGGTCCAGTCATGACCGACTCTGGGGTTGCGGCGCTCATCTCACTTTATTGGCCGAGGGAGCCGGCGTACAGCTTCCGGGTCATGTGGCCAGCATGACAAAGCCACTCCTGGCGAACCAGAGCAGCGCATGAAAACGCTGTTTACCTTCCCACCACAGCAGTACCTATTTATCTACTTGCACTCTGACGTGCTTTCGAACTGCTAGGTTGGCAGGAGCAGGGACTGAGCAACGGGAGCTCACCCCATCACGGGGGTCCGAACCGCCAACCTTCTGATCGGCAAGTCCTAGGCTCTGTGGTTTAACCCACAGCGCCACCCGCGTCCCACCAATATCTTATATAACATTAAAGGATGGAGTTGTAGATCTTGAATGGCACATGTACCAAACCAGAGCACACCAATGTTGCTGCTGCTCAGACCTCAATCATGACTTGGGATCCTTCCCCCCATTTTTCCTCCCCCTCCCTCTCATTTCACCTGCCAACTGCCTCCCCCACTCCACTCACTTGATGGCCTGGCACATGTCAAGGCCCATCTTGACGCAGTTCCGGGCATGGTTGGGCAGCGACACAGGCAGCCCAGAGACGCAGTAGTAGCAGTCGCCCAAGATCTTGATTCTCATGCACTCGTTATCCTGGGAGGGGACAGGGTTGAGGATGAAGTTTGCCACCTGAGACAACATCTCGGTTTCCTTGGCAACGTACACATCATGACTCACTGGCTTAGGGCTGCTCAGCTAGGGTACCATTTCTGCACAGAGGGGTAGGATGTTTCTATGGCCACCACAGCACAATTTCCCCAAATTTCCCTGAAGAAAGGCACTGTGATTGTTAATCTGCTCTGGGAATTGTAGCTCTGGGAGGAGAATAGGAAGCGGGGGGTCTTCTAACAAATCCCAGCACCCTTAACAACTGCACCACCCAGGATTTGGGGGGGGGGCTGGCATAAATCCTGGAAAGGGGGGTTTAGGCTGCATCCTAAGCCTGTTCACCTGGGTCAGGTAACCTGAGAAGCTGGTATAAGTTAAGCCTGCAAAAAGAGTCTTCTAACTCTGTTTAAAGGCTTGTTTTCTCTCTGCAAAGCTTAGTCCAGCTCAGAAAGCAGATCGGCTCCAGATTGGAGTTTGGATATAGCACACTCTTCTGCCAGTTTAACTTAATTTTATGCCAGCTTCTTGTGTACAAGATTTCCCTGCATGTCACTGGACTCCACCTCACATCAGCCAATGACCAGGGGTGATGGGAGTTGTATTCCTACAACATCAGGTTCCCCGACTCCAATCTAAGGAGAGCAACCTTTTTTAAGGCACGGGAAGGGTATTTATGGAGGGGAGATATTCTCTTACTCACCTTGGCGATCTGGTCAAACTTGCCAAAGAGTTCGTTGAGCATGAGGACTAGCTCCTTTGGGGAGCATTCGCTGGCCAAGAGTGTGAAACCAACAATGTCGGCGTATAGGATGCTGCAAGAGGGGGAGGAAAAAAGAAACGAAAGATGTTGTGTGGAACCGTGCAATGGAGTGGGATTCACCCAACCAGCTCCCAATTGTTCAGCCCTAATCCATATACATCAGGTCAGGCAATCTTGTAGATGACAGATGGCGTCAAAAGCAAGTACCTGATGTTTTCGTGGCGCTTGACGTAGAGGTTGTGGAAATTATTGGTGCCCTCGTGACGGTGCTGGGCCTGGCCTCCATCCCGGAGCCTCTCGATGATTTCGGCCTTCATTTCCAAGGCAATGTAGGCAGGAAGGATGGAGAGAAGCAGATGCTCCTAGGAGGATCAGCACAGCAAGGTGGTGGTGGGAGGAATCAGGAACAACAGAGTCAGTTTATAGTACCCTTCCAGTACTGGACTGAATGAATGCTATGCTACCTTCAACATTAATTGGTTTGTTGCTGAGCTCTTTTTACAAGTTTCAGAACCTGGGAGTTCCCCGTGCAATGAGTTTGAAGGGGCCTTTCTTTGTCTATGACTGGAGAGGAAAATAGCTCCTCTGTGCATGGGCAGAAGAATACCCAACCTTTACAGGAAGGTTTAAGCTCTGCTATCTCTCTTGTGCATAAATCAAAGGCCTGACGGAATGGATGCAAGCCAGAAGGGCCTGATCCAGGTCATAGGATGATAGGAAGCTACTCTACCATTTCAGATATTCGGTCCATCCTGCTCAATATTATCTACAATGTTCCCCAACTTGGTGCCTTCCAGGTGTTTTGGACTACGATCCCATCAGCCCCAGCCAGCACAGCCTATGGTCAGGGATGATGGGAGTTGTAGTCAGGCAGTATCTGGAGGGCCACAGGTTGGGAGAGGCTCATCTTCACGGACTGGCAGCTGCTGTCCAAGGTTTTGGGCTGGAATCCTTTCCATGCTCTACCTGGAATGGAACCTTCTGTGCGCAAAGCCATTCTCCGTACTCACCTGGTGCCTCTTCTCAGACTCCAGCTTGACTCGGGATTGGATGAGGTTGAAGGTCTCGTGGAAGGTCTCCCCCAAGGCCACCTCCATCAAGTGCTTATGGTAGGCACCCACCAGGTTCCCGCAGACAAAGATGACTAGATTGGCCAGGAGCTGGAGGCACATGCAAAAAGAGAAGATGTAAGGCGAAGAAAGACTGGGAGGCGATCATGACACAGTGCAGTGGTGGAAAGAGAAGCCAGTGCGGTGTACTTTTTTGCGTGTCAGACAAGGGCTCATCCAACTTCCTCTTGTGCCATGTTTCTAGGCCCGGATCTGGGCTTTAAAGCTCTGTGTTTATTTTATTTGGTCCCAAAGCTGTCCCTGGGAAAACCCACATTTCAATGCTTAATCACAATCAGACGTAAAATGCGGGTTTTCCCAGTGAAAGCACAGGGACCAAAAAAAAACCAACAACAACTCTGTTTAGACATGGAAAGCATGGCACAAAAGGAAGTCTGGATGAGCCATAGGACTGTGGGAGACCAAGGATTAAATCCCCATTCAGCTACAAAGCTCCCTGGGTGACCTCGGGCCAGTACTGACTCTCAGCCTAGCCTACCTTCCATGGTTGTTGTGGGGTTTAAGGGGAGCACTATGTCAACAACCTAGAGCTCCTTGGACAAAATGTGGGATACAAATGTAATAATACCTCAGGGTAGAAATTCTGCAAGGCCCGTTATCAGTAAGGCCAGCGTCACCACGCAAGAGTGCAGCCTGAACACAGATCTGGTTTAAGAGGAGCCCAACGCTGCTTGTTAGAGTGAAAAGCAACTCCAGACAAAGTGCAAGGAAGGCACTGAATGTACAGCAAAAAGCTTGGATTGAATAAGCGATTTCAAAGACTGTGATTGGATGAAGAGATGGCGAGATGCCAGGGTGGCAGAAGCTGGTTGGCTAGAGGATGAAGCAGCTAAGAAGATGTACATTTTCGATATAGGGTGTGTGCTAATGGAAATGCTCTCACAGACTCTGTTGGACTCTGTCCGGTAATGCGTTACTGAATGAGGTCAGACTCATGCTGAATTTACTGTGAGAGTCCCTCAAAGGGAATTTCCCCACACACAACAGGAATTCCCAGGAATGTCCCATCGGCCTGCCTTGTGATGTGATTGGGGAAAAAATAGCATTTTGGGCAACACATTCATTTTAATCGCCAATATTTTCCCTAACATTGATTCATTCTGCTCCATATTTCTAAATTTCTTTTTACCTCAAGCCAAATTTTTTCATACTTATTTTTAAATAGGTTTATATTTCTTGATGTTAACCAAATCCCTAAATATTTAACCTTTTTATGGACTTCAATCTCAATGTTTTGTTCTAGTTCGGTTGTTACTTCTTCCTTCATGTTTTTAACTAATAATTTAGTTTTATTCCTATTTAGCTTAAATCCTGCCACTACCCCAAAATTATGATTTTTTTCTATTACTTTAGGGAGTGAAGTTTTAGGTTATTCCACTGTTATCACTAGGTCATCTAGTGAATTATCTAGTAAGATAATTCACTTTTCCCAGTTTTTACACCTGTAATCACTTTATTTGCTCTTATGTTTTTGGCAAGTACTTCCAAGACCAGAAAAAACAATATTGGTGGCCTGCCTTGTGATGTGAAGCACGGATTGGGTGACAGGGCCCCACTTACCTGCAGCGCTAGCTCCGAGCGCGAGCCGCGCCCCAGAGAGAGGTAGACGCTCAGGACGACAATGTGGGAGAGGGAGGAGACCAAGCCGGCAGCCACGGCATCTTTCATGCCAACGGGCAACATGGTGTAGACGGTGAAGATGATGAAGAGGAAGAATGAGACCTTTGGAAGAAAAGAACACGGCATCAGTTCTCCTTGTGACAGGAGGGAAATTAGGAATGTGTAAATTCCACTAGTCTGTGAAAGAAAATCGGGGGTCAGGGAATAATAGTAATAATAATAATAATAATAATAATAATTTATACCCCGCCCTCCCCAGCCAAGACCGGGCTCAGGGTGGCTAACACCAAATATAAAACAAGTTGATTGGAATACAACTTAAAAACAAGGTTAAAATACCGTATTTTTTGCTCTATAAGACTCACTTTTTCCCTCCTAAAAAGTAAGGGGGAATGTGTGTGCATCTTGTGGAGCGAATGCAGGCTGCGCAGCTATCCCAGAAGCCAGAACAGCAAGAGGGATTGCTGCTTTCACTGCGCAGCAATCCCTCTTGCTGTTCTGGCTTCTGAGATTCAGAATATTTTTTGTTTTCCTCCTCCAAAAACTAGGTGCGTCTTGTGGTCTGGTGCATCTTATAGAGCGAAAAATACGGTACAACATTAAAATGCAACCTCATTTCAGCAGAAACTCAAAAACTTTCTTGGGGATGAAAACATCAAGTCTGGATAGGCTAACTATCCAGACTGGTCCAACGTGGGCCAGAATCTGCTAAAACGGTTTCTGCCACGTTCATGCTGACTTTGGAACAAGCACCCCTCAGACCCATTGTCAAGAACATGCCTACTCCCAGTTTTTCCACACATGATATCCATCTGTTTCTTCCATATCAGTCACCAATCTACAAGTAGGGCTGCAAATAGAGGCAGGGCTGTCTTAAGCATATGCGGCGCCGGGGTGCAAAGATCCACCCGGCGCCCCTCCCCCCACCCGGTTGCCCAGTCCCAGATGCGCAATTCCTGTCTAGATGTTCTTTGAACATGACCCCTGCCTCTACATATGGCCATGTGAAGAACCCTTTCTTGCAACCTTACACGACTTTGCGCTTCCAGTAGATAACTAACTGTAGAACGATTTGCTTGTTTCAACTGTGCTATGACACAATTATTGTACAGTGGTACTTCAGGTTACAGACGCTTCAGGTTACATACTCTGCTTACCCAGAAATAGTACCTCGGGTTAAGAACTTTGCTTCAGGATGAGAACAGAAATCGCGCGGCAGCAGCAGCAGGAGGCCCCATTAGCTAAAGTGGTACCTCAGGTTAAGAACAGTTTCAGGTTAAGAACGGACCTCCGGAACGAATTAAGTTCTTAACCCGAGGTACCACTGTATACATTATTGGCAGAGTTGTGCCGTTAGTTGACTGTATGTCTATAAGTATCTCCAGGCTTTGATATGCACGTTGCTCTTTAATTTGCTGAACTAAGTAAAATTGTCCTTTATATTTGCAAGCCGGTTTGGTGTTTTGGTTTTCTTGTAATACCTGAATATAAGCCGCGCCCTTAAAATTTCACAGGCACTCACACCCATTTCGTTTTACCGTATGTCTGTTTCAGCAGCGATATGGTAAAAGCCAATTTTCATGAATTTAAGCCACACGGAATTTGGGGGAAAAGTGAGGCTTATATTCAGGCCAATACGGTATAACAGCATGCTCCCAGCTCTACACAGATGTCAATCAGAAAAGGACTGCCAATGCAGAAGGCGGGGATAGGTTCAAAGAGCACTACGCTGAGGCCCCCTCAAGCCCACACTCAGGTCTCTGAAGGCTCCTCCTATTCCTCATTTTAATTTTCAGGATGCAGCCTGAGCCCCTCACCTGATCCCAGGCACTGACCACCCCTCCGGTGAAGACAAAGACATAGCCCATGGTCATCAGGCAGGTCCAGATGATGGCAGAGAAGATCCGTGTGCATTGCTGGAAGAAGCTCTCTATGCACACGAGGATCAGGATGAGGCTGAAGATTGCCAGGGCAACGAACAATGTAATCAGGAAGCCCAGGTTGGAGGAGAAATCCTGGAGAGAAAAGGGGAATTAAACGAGCAATTCCGTTTGTGCTGGTTTGCAGCATTGGCCCGAGTTATACCACTAGGGAGGCACTGCGCTCAATAGTAGAGCAGATGCTTTGAACGCAAAAAAGGAAAAATCTCAGGTTTAGGCCAGCATCCCCTGTCAGAGAGTCAGGACACCAAGATGGGAAGCATCAGTGCTAGAGACTCTGAATGGAGCACAGAATTCCCGGGCAGATGCGGGAGTACACAGGCACAGTATAATGCAGCTCTGTATGTTCAACGCAGCAGCAAACAGAGAGGTGCAGCTGGCGGTTTGGACTTTGTGCTACAGCTCAATGGAGGCTAAGGAAACGGTGCCCATCACCACAGTCTGCCATCCCACAGCTGCCTGTACTTTCAAACAGTCCAGAGTTTGGCAGCACCTGTCAGCTTCCTCCTCTTAATCTCAGGGTCAGTGGTGTGCACAGTGCCTACCGTATTTTTTGCTCTATAAGACTCACTTTTTCCCTCCTAAAAAGTAAGGGGAAATGTGTGTGCGTCTTATGGAGCGAATGCAGGCTGCGCAGCTATCCCAGAAGCCAGAACAGCAAGAGGATTGCTGCTTTCACTGCGCAGTGATCCCTCTTGCTGTTCTGGCTTCTGAGATTCAGAATATTTTTTTTCTTGTTTTCCTCCTCCAAAAACTAGGTGCGTCTTGTGGTCTGGTGCGTCTTGTGGTCTGGTGCGTCTTATAGAGCGAAAAATACGGTAATTTACGTATAAGCTAAACAAGCTGTAGCTTAGGGCCCCACTCTCTTGCCCCCCCCCCAAATATACTTCTTCTTAATCATAGCTGTCAACTTTTCTCTTTTCTTGAGAGGAATCCTATTCGGAATAAGGGAATTTCCCTTAAAAAAAGGAAAACTTTGACAGCTATGTCCTTAATTGTATTTCAGTTCAACAATTACTTTGATAAAATACATATTTTGTTATGTGCAAATGGCTTTGGATACCTGTTAGGTCCATAAATTACCATATAGTATCTATTCGACACAAAAAACAGTGACAATTTGTTGTTGACAAAGGACAGCTGGACATATAAAGGGCCCCATTACCTTCAGTAGCTTAGGGCCTCATCAAACCTAAATCCGGCCCTGGGTGTGCGGTTTGTGCCCTTCTTCCACCTTCCCAAATCCAGCCCAACTTTAGGAAGGAGGAAGCAGGGCTCCAACATTCCGTCAGAGGACTGGCGCAATCCTCCCCAAAGCCCAGGAAGCTTTCAGCAGAAAGTTACAGGACATGCACTGATGGGAGACGAGGGCCCCAAACACATTGCACATTTAAAGCAGCATGTGGCTTCTCCTCAAAGAAGCCGTATGTTAAGAGTGCTGAGAGCCGTAGTGTAACAAAAGTGGAACTGGAAACAACAACAATCCCGATCTTTCGTGATATGAGAAGTTAGAGCATGGGTAGGCAAACTAAGGCCCGGGGGCCAGATCCGGCCCAATCGCCTTCTAAATCCGGCCCGCGGATGGTCCGGGAATCAGCATGTTTTTCATGAGTAGAATGTGTCCTTTTATTTAAAATGCATCTCTGGGTTATTTGTGGGGCATAGGAATTTGTTCATTTTTTTCCCCTTCAAAATATAGTCCGGCCCCCCACAAGGCCTGAGGGACAGTGGACCGGCCCCCGGCTGAAAAAAGTTTGCTGACCCCTGAGTTAGAGGATTACAGCAGGAAGTCATGGGGGCATGCACTGATTGGAAACAAAGCAGTTTGTCTGTCTCAAAACTTTTTCAGTCACTAATGGTACTGAAAGCAGCATGACAGCATGGTGTATGAAGAGCTAAACAAAACTTTGTTAAGAAAACAGAAGCTTTTTTATTGGGGATATTAGACACAGATATAGCCAGAGAAAACAAGAGAATATTCCTTTACGCTACAGGGGCTGCGAGAATACTAACTGGCAAAAATTGGAAAAAAGAAATCATAGCAACAAAAAAAGTGTGGCAAGATAAATTATTTGACTACAGTAGTACCTTGGGTTATGTTATCTTCGGGTAACGTAATTTTGAGTTACAAACGTGGCAAACACAGAAGTGTATACTTCTAGGTTTTGCCCTGTGCACATAAGCGCTCTATCAAGGCATGCATGAGCACAGAAGTGGCGCCTCCGGATAGTGCCTTTTCGGGGTAAGTACGGACCCCCGGAACGAATTACGTTCATATCTGGAGGGTCCACTGTATATTGAATTGGCTAGATTGACAGGAGCCATTAGGGGTCAGCCCAAGTAAAAATTTCAAAAAGAATGGGGAAAATATAGAGAATACCTGAAAAAGCAGTGTCCTCAAATTAATACTTGGATTTGTTTCAACTAACTTCTGCAAAATAAATTATAGTATAAAAGCTAAAAATAGAAAGAAAAGGGGGTAATAATAAACTAAGGAGACAGTTTACCAAAAACAAAAAGAGAACCGTGTTTAGGCTGAAAGAAGTCAACTAGAAGAAAATAAGAATTGAAATATGATATATATATTCTGTTGATTATTTGACCTGTGTAAGTTTGCATATGTTATTATGTTTTATCTGTATTTCATTTTTTGTTTTTAATTGTGCATTTTTATCAGTGTGTATGTGTTGTAAAATAAACTTAATAAAAAAAAATTAAAGCAGCATGACATATATCCTTCCTGGAGCCATCATGACTACAAATCATGGAAAATAAAGAGGATGTCTGGAGGGACCCAAAACAGATCTTGCAAGCCTGAAGTCTGCCCACCAAGATCTACTCCACTTTTTTTATTGCCTGCTGCCAGATCCTTTGAACTGGAGGTGCCAGGGACTGAACTGAGGACTTTCTGCTGTTGAGCTATGGTCCCTCCACCAAACTCAACTATTCTCCCAACCACCTCATCTAAGGATGGAGAACCTGCGTAGTCCTCTGGATGTTCTTGGGCTCCAAAAACCCATCAGCATGGGTGATGGGAGTCGAAACAACATCTGGAGGGTCACAAGCTCTCCCACCCATAACCAAATTCTTAGAACCTAAGAATAGGACTCCTGGATCAGGCTAGTCCAGCATAGTCTCACCGTGGACAACACAAGCAGGACCTGAACGCAACAACACTCTCCCCTTCCTGTGGTTTCCAGCAACTGGTATTCAGAAGCACAATGCTTCCGAAAAAGGACATACAACAAAACAATTAGAGCCAAGATCTGTTGATATCCACATCTTCTATGAATTTGTCTAATCCTCTTTTAAAAGCATCCCATTGGTGGTCTTTTATGGGAGCAAATTTATTCTGTCCTGACTCCCATAGACACCCCATCTCTCTCTCTCTCCTTGCAAACATGCTTACCCGGCCACTGGCAAAGGATGTCACAATGAGAGCCACGCAGATGCCCAACACAATGAAGAGGAGCAAGAGGATGAGGGGGTACTGTTGGCTCAAGCTGTAATAGGTTTGATAGTAGAGGTCCTCCCGTGGGGTGTCGCTGCTGGTTGACTGCGGGCGACGCTGGCAGGGCATGGCTTTCCTGCTCCCACAAACTCCCGCCTTGGAGGGGAGGAGAGCTCACTCCTCCCAAGGTGAGTAAGGGAAAGCCAATCAGCACCTTTTGCTGCAGCTGTTGAGGGTACCCATTTGTACTTCAAGGCTGCAGAGCTCCATTGTTGAAAAAACAGGTGTATTAATCCAGACAGGGGACATGGGGAAATCCAACTGAGCAGTGAGCATGAAACCTGGGGTGGATGATCTCAATGTGAAACGATGTTCTCAGCTAAGTCAGGTGAAGCGGGCATTGTCAGTGCAGAGAGTCAGAAACCCGAGGCCCTGGGAAAAGAAATTAAAAACAGGTAACAAATGGTCCTTATTCACACTTATAGATTAATACTGAATACTTCAATAGTACTGCTTGTGTTCTGTTAGCCCCAAAATGGAAAATGAACAGACTAAAGAAGAATGGCAACTTAAAGAGATGGGATATACGCAGCTTGCAGACCTAACATATAGAATAAGAGAACAAGAAGAACATACATTTAAAGAAGATTGGGTAATGTTTATTGAATATAGGAAAATGGTGTATATTTGAAAAAGTGGGCAGCATTAAGATAAATTCAACAGCGTAAATAAGTTTTGGTGGATGTTATAATGGAATACTGAAGGGTTTAGTTTATATAAAATATGCAGGGATTTATGTTGCGCAAAATGAACCATGGAAAGAGAGGAAGGGAAGTCACTGATATGTTAAGGCTGTTTAAGTGAATATTCTAAAATGTGAAATATAAATTTAGTACTGAAAATGCCAGAGAATTGTTATCTTGGTTATTCCTCCTTAGTAATAATGGGTACAAAGGTTCCACCTTGTTGGAGGTCTTCAGGCAGAAACTGAAGGGACACCTGTAGGGGGCGCTCTAGCTCTGAACTTCATATATTGAACCCCAGAGTGGTTGGAGTAAATGACCTAAAAGGTCCCCTCCAACTCTATAATTCCACAGTCTGTTTCTTTAGCTACATGCATAAGTATTCATGAAAAGACAGATGTTGTCATAGAATCATAGAACGGTCAAGTTGGAAGGGACCACGAGGGTCATCTAGTCCAACCCCCTGCAATGCAGGAATTTTTTTTTAACCCAATGTTTAACTCAAACCCACCACCCTGAGATAAAGAGTCTTATGCTCTACCAACGGAGTTATCAGTATTCTTCCAGCTTAGGACCACATATGTCATTGGGCTACAGCTCTCATTACACCTGACCATCAGCTAAATTGGCTGGGGATTATGAGAACTGCAGTCTGGCAACATCTGGGGGACCCAAAGTGGGTGCCTTTGGATTTTGTTTTTATCATCATCATCATCATCATCATCATCTGCTGAGTCCGTATGGTGCTGTGGTGAGTGTCGGTCTAGGACCTGGGAGACCAAGGTTCCAATCTCCACTCAGCCATGTAGCTCATTAGATGACATTGGGTCTCTCTCAGCCTGAATTGTCACACTGGGTTGCTGGGAGGATAAAAATGGAAGTCACCGCCACACCAGGATTCTCAGGTTTGTAGCTCTGTGAGGAATAGACGACAGTTCCCAGGATTCTTTGGAGAAATCTGGGTGCTTCAAATGTTCTTTAAACATACGGTGTCGATATGACTGAGAAGCACCGTGGCTAGCACCTTGAGCTTTGAGAGGTGGGATATAAATGTAATTGCCATCATCATCACTACCACCACCATTATTCTTAATTATTTTAAGGACTGTTTTGAACACAAGGATGTAATAATTGTGGCCTCGAAAGGAAAGGAAAGGAAAGGAAAGGAAAGGAAAGGAAAGGAAAGGAACAAACAAAGAAAGAACCTCTCATCATCTAAACTATGAGCTCTGGCAAGTGATATATTAATAATATGCAAAACAGCCATGCTGGAATTCGTGTGAATTCACATCCTCAGTGAATGAGTGCAGAGATGGTCAGATAGAAAGAGTGGTTAGAAAAGCCAGAAAAAGTTGTCTGGAAATAAAACAAAGTGTGAAGGGTGGGAGAGGAGAGGAGAGGAGAGGAGAGGAGAGGAGAGGAGAGGAGAAGAGAAGAGAAGAGAAGAGAAGAGAAGAGAAGAGAAGAGAAGAGAGAAGAAGATAGATGGCTGACTAAAAGACATGAGGCTGGCTACTAGAAATTTTATGTATTCTTCCCCTCAACAACATGAACTACCATATTTTTATCTCACCTTCCTCTAATGAGCTCTATCAATTTTTGCTTCACAACAACTCTGCAAGATAGATTATGGTGAAATCCTAACCATGCCTACTCAGAAGCAAGTCCTGCTAAATTCAGTGGGGCTTACTCCCATGAAAGTGGAGCTAGGAGTGCAGAGAGCTTTGTTGGCTGGGCTGGAATTTGAATTCAGAGCTACCTCTCCCGAAAGCAAACTTGTCTATCTGTTCACGTCGCCCATATGAGATAGATGAGGCAGATCTGACTTTTAGGGATACAAAATGATAACTGATTCAGGTGGATGGATGAAGTTCAAGGATGATTACACACAGAAATAAATATTTTAGAGATAGATAGATAGATAGATAGATAGATATAGATATATAGATAGATGAGAGATAGATAGATAGATAGATAGATAGATAGATAGATAGATAGATTAGATAATCTTGCCCACTTGGGAAATCAATCAGCTTTGATATAAACTGTCAAAGTGCCACAACAAATTAAGCATCCGTCAACCTCTGCTGTGCTCCTTTGTAGAGTATAAATGCACACACTTCTCACACACTCCCGTTGGTGAGCGCATATATTTCTGAACAGTTCCCTCTAAGAAAGTGCTATTTCACAAAATCCAGGACTCACTCCATGCCACAAATATTCACCTCCCTCATTCTGTGCAGGTGAAGAAAGACCCAAGAACGATGGATTGCTGTTCCCATGCCTAGTTGGCCACCCCCTCTTGCCTCTCCATCGATCATCACGTTTTTTTAAAAAGGCAAGATGCAAAAACCCATTCCGTCTTCCATCTCTCCCCTGCGCAGCCTTCCCTCCCTTGGACACACAACAGGCAGCTGCCACCTCACAAAGTACCCAAACGCCGAGGAAGCGGGCGCTTCTTACCTGCTCCAACAACCACCGGCAGCTCCATCTTCCGAGCAGGCAGCCTGGAATCTCTCCCGTTACTCACCATGCTCCGACTTCTCTCACGCAGCTGCAGGAAGTCAGTCTGCCTGCCTCCCCACAGCCCAGCCATCTGAACTTGAGATTAAAAACTCCCCGGCAAGATTAACACTTTCATCCCCAAGGGGCAGGGGGTGGAATTCAATGGCCAGGGCAGGCACAGTCCTCCTGGGTTGCTTTCAGGTGTACTGTTCTATTCAGCACTCATCCAGATTTCCCTGCACAAAGTTTGCAGAGAGGCTGGACACCAGCAGCTATGCACTGAATATGTTTGCTTCAAATATGTTTGCAGGGAGGTTCGAAGATGAAGCATCAAGGACTGGCTACCCGGCACTTTCCTGTGCGTTTCCCCCTTGCTTTCCTTATCTGTAAAAAGTCTGATTGTGCTTCCTGAGTGTCGCAATCTGCGGGTGGGTGGGAGTCAATCACATAGCGACAAATCCAGGTTGTGCAATTAAAGCTGGCTGCAACAAACCCGCTTTCTTAAAAGACTGGACTTCTTGCAATAAGGAAAGAGAGGAGAAAATGCACCGGCAAGTGTGGGAGAGCACTTGCTTGATGCAACATCATCTAAGCTCCCCGCAAAAAGAACCAAAAACAGACTGAATGTTTGTTAAAATAGCTGACATCATCTGATCTCCCAGCAAACAAATCAGGCTGAATGCTCAATAAACAGGTCAGCTGGAAGTGACCCACCTTTGGGGGGAAGTAGGGTAGCACAAGTGTGTGAAATCCTTTTTAGTGGCACAACTCGATTTACTGTTATGCAATGGAATCCCACCTCCAAATGGCAACACCTTGGAAGCCACTATGGCCCATGCAGGACCTTGATCCAAAGGAGCTCAGTTTTCTTGCCTTTGCCACTGTCAAATGGAGGCTTTTTTCATCTGGGGCCCCAAGGTTGAAGAACACTGCATTGCACAAGAGCACTTGATTTTGTTTTAATTTTCCATCTTTGGACCTCATAAAACCCGCAGCAGTAAACTGTCACAAGCCCTAGCCTTTTACTTTCTAAATGTTCCCTTCAAATTCTTTAAACATAGCAGGGGTTTTTCCTCCAATGCCTACTTTACACGTTCATCCAACTCTTTACTGGAGACTTATAACACTTACTCCTCGCTCCTGAAGACATACATGTTTAGACCAGCACACCCTTAAACTGAACTTATGGTTTTATCATTTAAACTGCATTCCTCCGCCCCCTGTTTTAATGGGAAGAGCCATATTTAAGTAAATAGTTCCACAAACCAATGCAACAAGTTCTGCTAGACTAGAGCAATTCTCCCTCCCTGCAATTGTCTCTGTGGGGTGGGAGAAACACACACACACACACACACACACACACACACCGCCCCAGAGCAGCACCTGTAGAGGAGAGGGGGAGAGTAAAGATTTCTCCATCAGGCCAGCCAAAATTATTACGCTGACATTCTTCTCAGCACTACTTTATATTCTGCCTTATTTTTGTTTGGTTGTTTTATTGCATATTTTAATTGAGGATGCTTTATAATTTTGAACAAAATCCAAGACTCTCTTCCCACTTGGTGAACCAGCTTCACCCTCTTATAAGTATCTCTTGTGCTGTTCTGACCCCAGATTCCTCATTCAGGCTCCATGTGTAGGCGTTATTAACGAAGCAGGCTTATTAAACAGGGTTTATTACAATTCCCTGGCAGCAGGGTTTGGCTTAGGTTGGTGGGAGGGAATCTCAGGCCCAAATGTTGACTGCCAAAATGGCACCCCGCTGTCCCCCAAAGAAAAAGGGGTGAGGGAAGATCTACATCAGGAGCACGTGGGGCGGGTGGAGATCACAATCAGCATCTGCTTCCCTGGCGGGTCTTGCCGCCTGAGGCAGTCACCTCACCTTGCCTCATGGGTGGGCTGGCCCTGACTGTGGCCATTCAGATCTCTCTCTCTCTCTGGCCCTCGAGATTTTTGCTAGGCCATTCTCCCTTTCTAGGATACCTCCCTCTCCAGGCTACATTAGTCCTGCTCCACTCCCTCCTTGAACGTTTGGGTCTGGCTGAAATGTGTCCTTGAACTGTGTTAAAACACCTCCCACTTTTCTGGACGACGGTTCGAGAGCTGAGAGGTCTGAGGTGCAGAGACCTCTGGCTTTTGACTCTGGAATGCAGCTTCCTGCACACAGCTATTGCTCCACCCACTTTTGCCTCTGGCTCCACCCACCAATGGCGTACAGCCTCTGGAAGATCCTGCATGATGGAACATGGTTCTCAGGCTGAGAAGGATTCTGCCCTAGACCAAGGGAAAGAAAGGAGCAGGGATTGGTGCCCGCAAGCTACATTCACCGCGCCTGAAATAGAATGCAGGTGTGACTCACATCCCAAGGGCTTGGAGCAAACAAATATCCATTAGAGCTTGCTGCATTGTCCCACATCAAAGACCAAGCAATTCCGACAAAACGCTTAAAAGGGAGGCTGTATTGTCCGTAACGGCCATGTAACTCATGACGCAGTTGTCACACAGTGTCTCAGCTGTTCTTTTCCAATTCAGCACTTCAAAGAAATCAAGTGTTTGAATTGCACCCATTTACCCAACAGAAGCTTAGTCACAGAATCGGCTGCGGAATTCCCATTGTTTACTCTCGGCTCGGAATTCTAGTCCTCTTGATCATTTTGGAGCCCCCTTTGGGAGCCGAGACGTCAAAAGCATCTGTTTCCTCCGCCTGCCTCTTTGCGACAAAGGAAAAACCGATACTGGATAGCGGAGCCTATTTCAGCTGCTGAAACGGGTTTTGTAGTATATGTGTGTGCTTGCGAGGATCCCACCAGGAAGCTGGTGAGGAGAAAGGGGGCCAGAAGAAAGGGAAAGTAGGCTTAGAAACAGGAAAGCAAAATAATAATAATAAACCTTTGCATGAAACAGGCTGCTTATGAGACCAGAGGGAACCGGCAGCTTCCTGACAGCTTTAGAGCCACTAATGAGCTGTCCAGCTAATGTCATTTCACGCTTGTCATCCTGTCCCTCGCAGTCGCAAGACAGTTTTGTCCCATTTAGATGGCCCATCAATTTCCCCAAACACAGGACCCTCTCCATACACAACCAACAAACAGTCGTTTCACAGAAGAACCTGGCTGGGCCTTCAACATCTGCCTGCTTTAAGGAATACTGCCACCTCTCTCCCTCCGCAGGGCTCCAGTGTCCATAGCTAGGGAAATCTAGCACAGCCCCTTGGCAAGTGGCCCTCCAACCTCAGCTTAACAAAGGAGAGTCTACCACTTTCGAGGCAGACTGTTCCACCCTCAAACAGCTGGCACCATCAGGAAGCTCTTCCCCATGTTAGAACCTGTCTTTCTTCTCTTCTGCTGTTTTCTTACACAGTTTACCGTGGCTTGTGTTATTTTTAATATTGTCTCCAGCCAGGCTTTCATATTTGATCATTTGTCTCTCTGTTCTTTCATTGCTTTCTAAAACTCCAGGTATAGCCATGATGGTCTTACAAAAGTATTGGTGTAGGTTTGCAGGGTCAGTCTGGATCATGGGTAGGCAAACTAAGGCCTGGGGGCCGGATCTGGCCCAATCGCCTTCTAAATCTGGCCCACAGACGGTCCAGGAATCAGCATGTTTTTACATGAGTAGAATGTGTGCTTTTATTTAAAATGCATCTCTGGGTTATTTGTGGGGCATAGGAATTTGTTCATATATTTTTTCCAAAATATAGTCCGGCCCCCCACAAGGTCTGAGGGACAGTGGCCCCCTGCTGAAATAGTTTGCTGACCCCTGGTCCGGATGATGTGCTGAGTCCCTTCTTGGGGCCCTGTTTCTGTGAGGGCAGAAGGTATGAGAGCAAGGTCACCCAACCAGTGCTTTTCACTATGTAATAGGTTGTGGCTGGCTAGTTAAGTGCCATGTTCTCGAAGTGCCAGGTGTTCTGGAAGCGACCAGCATGAGTCTGACCAAACTGCGGGAGGCAGTGGAGGACAGGAGTGCCTGGCGTGCTCTGGTCCACGGGGTCACGAAGAGTCGGACACGACTAAACGACTAAACAACAGTTAAGTGCCATAAGTTAGCACAGAGGTCGGCAACCTAAGGCCCATAGGCTGGTTCCGGCCCATGAGCTTCCTGGAACCGACCCACGGCCGTTCCATGGATCAGTGTGAGGATTCCGTGTTTTTTTCCGCGGCACCATTTTTTTATTCACCGCGGGAACCAGCTTCTGGGTTGGAAGAGAGACGGAATTAGCATGTGCGCACACGCACTCCTCACCCATACATGCTATTTCCGCACACTTCCGGGACAGAGGAGCGCCCGTGCGCATGCACACACGCTATTTCCTGCGCTCTTCCAACCCAGAGGTGTGCCGGAAATAGCTTGGGTTCACATGCTCCGGCCCACCGAGAGGTCTGCCGGGGTATGGACTGGACCGGCCTCAAAAAATGTTGCCAACGCCTGAGCTAGCATAACCAAAGGAGTTTCTCTGTGCCATAGAACAAACAGGTGGGCCTTCTCCCACGCTGCCCAACCTCATGTGATGGGTAGATAGAAGAAAAATAGGCAGTGTGTGTGGGGAGCTGAGCTTAAAGCATGAGACACAGAGACATAATTGATCTGTGCTGCAACTAAAGCTGCAGCTATTGGGGAAGCAAGATCTTTTGGGGTGTTGATGCTGTGAGCCCCTCCATCTTATGCTCAGGTTCTATTTACATATATCCTAAAGACCTCACAGTATCCGCTGACCTTCATTCCAAGAAAACTGAACCTGGGTGAGCACCTGGAAGCCATGGAGTCTCTCATTCCTCAGAGATTGGGGAGGTGTTGACACCTGCTCATTCCCTTGGCCAACCCCCTTGCCATCTGCCTCCCTTTTAGCTTGCTCAAACCACCCGCCACTTGGGGCCTCCTCTCCCCTCACTCATACCAACCACTTCAGGCCAATGAAGCTTTTTGGGCCCCCACAGCAGAGGGCTAGGAGAAGCAAAGCTGTGATGGTTCATAGTGCCACCTGTTGGCAGCCACGCAAACTACTTCTGCGTGACTACGCTCTTGCGTTCTTATTATATGTGTCGCTAGAAATATACCACCAAGCTTAGAGTCACATAAAAATCTCTAGTTAGGGATGAAAGGGACCCACAAATCATATGGTCCAGGCCATTGCCGATGAAGGAAGCCCACCATTGCGGCATCCCTGATAAAGTGACAATCCAGTTTCTGCTTTGAAAAAAAGAATTTTAAAAGAAAAACTGCTGGTAAACAGACAGATTTTGTACTGAGCTACACCACTCAAGCTTGAACAAATCTCAGCCTCAGATCTGCCCCTAAATGGTTAGTCTCTGTTTCCTGCCTCCTCCCCCACCCGACCTGTTCTGAGCTCTGCCAAATCTAGAGGGCTCTGCCATTCAAATTCTAGATATATTTTTTCAAGAATTAATGCTAGTAATAGAAATTCTACAGAGGAAACTTTCCTTAGCATCCTGATGGCAAGGAGTACCCTGCAAGACCACAGTTACATCCCTCTACAGAGGTGACACCAACAGGAAGCTGTTGGGATGTAATGGTTAGATTCAGTTACACTTTCGCAATCTGTTGTGAGGCTAAAATGAGAACATATCTTGGTTCACGAACTTAATCCATTCCAGAAGTCCATTCTTAAACCAAAACCATTCTTAAACTGAGGCAAGCTTTCCCTAATGAGGCCTCACGCCGCCGGTGCCATTCCACCATTCGGATTCCGTTCTTAGACCGAGGTAAAGTTCTCAAACCAGGACACTAATTCCGGTTTTGTGGAATTCGTAAACCGAATCGTTCGTAAACAGGACTGTTCTTAAACTGAGGTAAAGTTCTTAAACCAGGACACTAATTCCGGTTTTGTGGAATTCATAAACCGAATCGTTCGTAAACAGGACTGTTCTTAAACCGAGGTACCATTGTATGCTACTACAGTGGCAAGAATGTTACTTATCCAAAAATGGAAAGAAGCAGAAGTCCCAGCAAAGGAAGAATAGATACAAAAATTTATGGAACATGCAGAAATGGTGAAACTTACCAGAAGAATAAGAGATCCAGATAACATTCCTTTTTCTTTTTTTAACAAAAGAATGGAAATGGTTTATTGAATATTTACAGATAAATTATAAACAGATGAAAATATTGGCACCTGCAGTTTTATAAGAGTATATATTTAAAGAAGATGAATAAATGAGTGAATTAAGTTAATTTGGATGTGCAGAAGATATTAAAAATAAATTTAGGGAACCGCAGAAACAGGGGGAAGGGAAGTCAAGTTTTGAAACGTCAAAATGATTGTAAAATTAGTGAAATGTATAAACTTGAAAACTATAAATAAATAAATAAATAAATCTTCCCTGAAAACAATAAAAAAGAAAGAAAGAAAGAAAGAAAGAAAGAAAGAAAGAAAGAAAGAAAGAAAGAAATTTTTAAAAGGGGGGAACAATGGGGTTTTTTGTCTTGGACATTCTTTGTAGCTCTGAGAACTAGAAACCTGAAACTCTATGTAAAAAAACACAGCGAGACAAAATCAGCCCTTCCTATACATACACAAGAATATGAGTCGGTTAAGGGTTGTAGTACAAGCAGGCTTCTCTCACCTTTGACCTTTACGGCAAACCGTACCTGGCACATTTCCCCTCTTCTGCACGATAATGAAAGGTTATTGTGAGAGAGCCGAAGCCTCCTTTGCATCTGGTCACCCTCGTTTGCATCTGATGATGCTGGAACTGGGGCTTAATAGGACATGATGACAAGCCAAGGTATGGAATCACCACAATTCCTAGCCAGCTCCCAGTGGTGGCAGCGGCTGCTGGATTGGGACATGTAATTGGAAAGACTTGGGAGGCCAACGGGAGGTGGAGCCCGAGAATGTGACAGGCAGAGCCAAAACAAACCACAAGTGCAGGGCCAACTAATTCTAGTTTTGTCCCCATCTTCCTCCCTGCTGAGTTGTACAAGGGGAAAACCTGAGACCAAGACTGTGTACATGAAGTATTTTGAAGTGGATTTGATGCATCTCGTGTCTGCATCTTGCTTAGTTCATCCACACAATGTTGCCCTCATCCAATTGATTAGAGATTAGAGAACTGGGCCAAAACAAACAAGATGAATTTTAACAGGGAGAAATGTAAAGTATTGCACTTGGGCAAAAAAAATGAGAGGCACAAATACAAGATGGGTGACACCTGGCTTGAGAGCAGTACATGTGAAAAGGATCTAGGAGTCTTGGTTGACCACAAACTTGACATGAGCCAACACTGTGACGCGGCAGCTAAAAAGCCAATGCAATTCTGGGCTGCATCAATAGGAGTATAGCATCTAGATCAAGGGAAGTAATAGTGCCACTGTATTCTGCTCTGGTCAGACCTCACCTGGAGTACTGTGTCCAGTTCTGGGCACCACAGTTCAAGAAGGACACTGACAAACTGGAACGTGTCCAGAGGAGGGCAACCAAAATGGTCAAAGGCCTGGAAACGATGCCTTATGAGGAACGGCTAAGGGAGCTGGGCATGTTTAGCCTGGAGAAGAGGAGGTTAAGGGGTGATATGATAGCCATGTTCAAATATATAAAAGGATGTCACATAGAGGAGGGAGAAAGGTTGTTTTCTGCTGCTCCAGAGAAGCGGACACGGAGCAATGGATCCAAACTACAAGAAAGAAGATTCCACCTAAACATTAGGAAGAACTTCCTGACAGTAAGAGCTGTTCGACAGTGGAATTTGCTGCCAAGGAGTGTGGTGGAGTCTCCTTCTTTGGAGGTCTTTAAGCAGAGGCTTGACAACCATATGTCAGGAGTGCTCTGATGGTGTTTCCTGCTTGGCAGGGGGTTGGACTCGATGGCCCTTGTGGTCTCTTCCAACTCTATGATTCTATGATTCTATGATTCTAATTGGTAGCTGGATTCCACGAAGCCTGGTAGGCAGGAAAAAACCTACTTAATCAGGCATGGGCAAACTCGGCCCTCCAGATGTTTTGGGACTACAACTCCCATCATCCCTAGCTAACAGGACCAGTGGTCAGGGATGATGGGAATTGTAGTCACAAAACATCTGGAGGGCCGAGTTTGCCTATGCCTGACTTAAATGGACACACAGACAGGTAAACATTCCTGTGTGAATGCTCATAATAGGTTTCCAGAACTCAGGGAGGGTGAGCAAGTAGAAATTCAGGGGAGGGCACAGCAACACAGAGGCATAATTTACACCATACATTTAAAGCACCATGATGCCACTTTAAGCAGACATGGCTTCCCCCAAAGAATTCTGGGAGGTGCTGTTAGTTAAAGATGCTGAGAGTTGTTTGGAGACCTCCTATTCCCCCCCCCCCCAGAGCTACAATTTCCATAGGCTCCTGGGAAGAGGGATTGATTGTTAAGACCCCTTGTGAATTATTATTATTATTATTATTATTATTATTATTATTATTATTTTATTATTATTATTATTAATTACCTATCCTTCATCCTAAGGTCCCAGGGCAGGTTGTAACAATTAAATACAGTTCAAAACAACATACAATTACAAAAATAAGGTGGGTCCCAACAGCCAGAGCAAAGAGATACACCTTCAACATTCTCCGAAAATTGTGTAATGAAGGTGCCAGAAGGTGCTCTGTGGGGAGGGAATTCCACACCTTAGGGGCCACCACAGTGTTATAAGAATTCTAAGGTCTCAAATATAAATAAAATGTTCATAAATGTACAAGGCAAACACATACATATGCATATAAACCACGTTTCTCAAATGGTAAAGGAGAGCCATCCTGAAGCCATTTTGACTCTCCCAAATCAACCTCAAATATTTCTCTGCAAGCGGGAAAGAAATGGGAAAGCCTCCCCATTGCCTTTTGCTTACAAATCTTGTCTTAAGGGAGTGTTTGTTATGGATAGGGTGAGCCTGTGATCTGGATTCAGGAATTAAAGTATTTACCATCACAAAAGAATGGTCAGGCTGCCCAGGTAAAGCAATCAGTGACCATTATCAGGTATTCGGGCAAACAGGATTTCTACTATAGACCACCTCCTTCTGTGATGTATGTATGATGTTTCAGAGAGGTGGTCTTGGGCTACAGGGGAGGCAATTTCAAAAGTCTATACAAGGGCTTGCACACCATTGTTCTGGGTTCTCTCTTCCCTCCTGTGGGGGGGGGGGGGAGTGTGGACCCTGTTGCAACAGTACTTCTCTATTGCAATAAAGATCAGGCTTACTAGCTGCTTTGCTTCTCAATATACTCTGGTTGGTCTCTGTTATTTTCTCCTACCAATAGGGAACCTACTTAAGGACTCTGTATGGGCCTTTTGATACCCCATAAGGGAAAAGGAGCAGTTTTCCCCCCTTATAACAACAGAGAATGCCCTCTTCTGCTGCCTCCACCCCAAGCCTCTGAAGGCACCTAGAGGGTTTGTAGGGAAGGAGATGGTTTTCCAGAGATTTGGGGCCTCAGTAAACCCTAATGTCAGCATCTTGAATTAGCAACCTAGAAATGAATTGGCAAAGAGAATGGAGGCTCTGTGAGGGGAATGGGGGCCTCTTAACTCTCAGCACCCTTAACACACCACAGCCCCCAGAATGACTTGGGGGGAGCCATAAAGTGGTGTCACAACCAGGGTCGGATTTAGGTTTGATGAAGCCCTAAGCCACTGAAGCTAATGGGGCCCTTTATATGTCCAGCTGTCCTTTGTCAACAACAAATTGTCGCTGTTTTTGTGTTGAATATATGCTATATGGTAATTTATGGACCTAATAGGTATCTAAACCCATTTGCACATAACAAAATACAGTGGTACCTCGGGATGTGAACGGGATCTGTTCTGGAGCCCCGTTTGCATCCTAAACAGAACGTAAGCTGCTACAGCGCGTCTGTGCATGTGCGGGTTGTGACGTCATTTTGACCGTCTGCGCATGCACGAGCGGCGAAACCCAGAAGTAACGCGCTCTGTTACTTCTGGGTCGCCGCGGAGCGCAACCCGAAAATACTTATCCTGAAGCGTATTTATCCCGAGGTATGACTGTACAGTGGTACCTCGGGTGACATACGCTTCAGGTTACATACGCTTCAGGTTACAGACTCCGCTAACCCAGAAATATTACCTCGGGTTAAGAGCTTTGCTTCAGATGAGAACAGAAATCGTGCAGCAGCGGCAAAGCGCCCCAATTGGTTAAAGTGGTGCTTCAGGTTAAGAACAGTTTCAGGTTAAGAACGGACCTCCGGAACGAATTAAGTTCTTAACCTGAGGTACCACTGTGGGTATTTTATCAAAGTAATGTTGTTGTTTTATCTTATATTTTGGAAATGTACATCCAGGTTTTTTCCCCTTTAAATTTTTTTTAGGGCCCCCAAGAGAGTGGGGCTGTAAGCTATAGCTTGTTTAGCTTATACGTAATATCTGGCACTGATCACAACCCATCAAGCATTGCCCACTTGCATGGACTGGAACATTAAGACAGAGTTCAATGGAAAGTGGTCCTGTGTGGACAAACTTCCCCAAAAGCCCACGTGGGGAAAATCAGATATGTGTGACTCACATGTGCATTGACACTCTGGCGTGTGTACACAGCCTGAGGAGGAGGAAACTGACAGGCAGTGCTGGTTGTTGTGAGTAAAAAACAGGTAGGTGGTGGGGCAGCGTCTACTGCTCCTTCCCTCCTGAGGAAAAAAATAATGATAATATTTAAACTCACACCAAAGACGCTTGCATCCCACTCTCTTGCCCCTTGTTTTCCGACCCCAGCCCCCTCTCCCTGCTGAAGCTGCCTGAGATGAGAGAGGAAATTGTGATATTTCCTGCCCCTCCTTTTCCTTGCTGATTCACAACAGCAGCAGCAGGAGGAGAAATCAACATCTCACCCTAGGTCTGGTCCTTCTACAAGACTCTGCTTTTAAATCAAAAAGTGACAAAGCCTAAACCTTCCGAGAAGAAAGATTACACCACCTGCCCTGGGATGTGTGCCTCTTTGCATGGGTAGCTTCTGTTCATACTCGCACGCCCTTCTCCATCTATCCAGGAAAACAAAAGGCATTCTCAGAGTTTAAGGACACATTCCAGCCAGGCAAAAACATGCAAGGAGGGTGAGCAAAAGTGGGGCTGGGAGAGATGTGGGGTTGGCTAAGGAGGAGGGTCAAATCGAGAGGCCTGAGGGTCACACTTGGTCTCCAGGCCTGAGATAGTTGCTGACCCTCCAATTCTAACTAGTTTCCAGTAATAATCCCAGAGTTACAGAAACTGTCCTGGTTTCTGGTTTGATCCCAGAATGTTCCACTTTTCCTTAGGACGTTTCTATTTTCATTGGAGAAATGTTGGAGGGTATGGAGTTATATGACACACACACCCCTAGCCATCTGAAGGCAGTCCTGTATAGGGTAGGGTTTTTTAAAATGTTTTATTATGTTTTTCTATATGTTAGAAGCTGCCCAAAATGGCTGGGGCAGCCCGGTCAGATGTGTGAAGTTTAAATAGTAAAATTATTATTATTATGGAATAGGACGTCCCTATTTTCATCGGAGACATGGTGGAGGGCATGTGGTTGTTCTTGTTACTTATTGCACTTTTTATTTAAAGTAACTCAAAAATAGTGCATACATTAAAACCAAGGTAAAACTAAAAGAGAGTAAAAGCTAAAAATGTATTTGTAAAAACGCAAGACTAATGCATCCCACTCACTGAAGGAGGCCACAGATAATTAAGAGCCAAGACCTGGTGAAATTTTTGCCTGGCCCTTAAAGTGATAGTGCCAGATGTGCTTCCTTGGGGAGTGTTCCATAAGTGAGGAGCCACCACTGAGAAGGCATGTTCTTCTGTTGACACACTCTGCACCTCCCTCCCTCGGAGGGAACACAGTGAGAAGGGCCTCAGATGATAAATGCAGGGGCCGGATTGGTTCCTCACCCACTGGAAAGCTCCCATGCTGCTCCCAGGTTTACATACTAAACAAGCGCTTTCTGAAAGCACAAACTAGCAATCCTCCTAACACAGACTGAAATCTTAGAAAGTGTGATGTATTACGACATCATTTTTTTGTGGGCATGAGCCCACTTCCTCAGAGATATATGACGCAATCCCAATAGCCATTCATGCATGTGTTAAAGCTAGGGTGGATCTAAACACAGGTGGGTAAAATGCTATAAATAAGTCAGAAATTAGATCGCTTTAACAAAAGAAAAAAAATCCCTATGGAAAATCGTGTTTTAGAATTTCCTGCTCTCTGGCGCAGTCTAGTGTTGCATGTTTATAGCGCATTCAAATCCCTTAATATAGTCCCTAGACTATTTGCTTCCACAAACGCTTGTGCTGTTATCCAGGGCGGGGGAACATTTTTCAGCCCAAAGGCCGTATATTTTTACGAGAGCTGCATGCCAGCAGTTGGATGAGGCCAGAGACAAAAGCACGCTGAGCAGCAAATGTAATTTTTCCTTTGCACGGTGGGTTAGCTTCCCCACGCACTCACGTATTCCTCTTGAGCCTCTATCCAAGGAAGCAAGAGGAATGAACTGGGCTCAAGGACACATTCCAGGCAGGCAGAAATATGCAAGAAGGGCTTAAATCAGGGCCTGTCAAAGTAACAGCCTGAGGAGAGTTTGGAGGGCTGAAACAGAGGCCTGGAGAACTCCATTTAACCTGAGAATCCCCCAGTTCTGCTTTGGTCTTCATGGTTCCAAAAAAACTCTTTGCTGCTGCTGCCAGTGCTGGTTTATGGGGCCTGAGTGAGGACTAAAGATGATTAAGGGCAGTATTTTGACATCTAATGGAGAATGCTCTTATGACCTAAACTGAGCAGGGAAGGAACTTAAGGGCTAAGATCCCAGCCCCTTTCCACCCCAACCCACCCGCCTCGCATAATTCCAGCCTCGCCCTCCTCTCTCCTCTTCCGAACTCCCCCAATGCTCAGCTCTCTTCACCTCCGCCAGCCTTCCCTGCCATTCCTATATATAAGTCAGCAGCACTCATCGCAGTCAATAAAGACGCCACGGTGCAGATGCCATTAGGCCCTTGGCCGAGGCCCAGAAAACTCATTATTACTACACTGTCGACTCCGAGTCGTAGCCGAGTGCTTTGGGGCTGCCAGAGCTGCTTGCTCTTGGACGGAGACCTGCGGAGAAACCAGCCGGCTTGGAGGCGACGGAGAAGGGGAACCGCAGAATAGCTATACTAAAAGGGCTGATGGGAAATTTGCTGCCCAGGGAATTCCGTAATGGAACAAGATGCTGCTTCGCCGCCCCCATCCTGGATCACCTTCCTTTTTTAACCTGGAGGAGGAAACTGGCCTCACATCTCCAACCAGGCGTGAGCGAATCCGTCAATTGTGGGTTTCTCGTTTTCTTCCCAAATCTGAAGTTAAGTTCTCCATACAGTGGTACCTCAGGTTACAGACGCTTCAGGTTACAGACTCCGCTAACCCAGAAATTGTACCTCGGGTTAAGAACTTTACCTCAGGATGAGAACAGAAATCGTGCTCCTGCGGCGCGGCGGGAGCGGGAGGCCCCATGAGCTAAAGTGGTACCTCAGGTTAAGAACAGTTTCAGATTAAGAATGGACCTCTGGAACGAATTAAGTTCCTAACCCAAGGTACCACTGTACAGTGGTACCTTGGGTTACATATGCTTCAGGTTACATACGCTTCAGGTTACAGACTCTGCTAACGCAGAAATAGTGCTTCAGGTTAAGAACTTTACCTCAGGATGAGAACAGAAATTGCGCGCTGGTGGTGCTGCGGCAGCAGCAGCAGCGGGAGGCCCCCTTAGCTAAAGTGGTACCTCAGGTTAAGAACAGTTTCATGTTAAGAACGGACCTCTGGAACGAATTAAGTTCTTAACCCAAGGTACCACTCTATTTCCACAGCAACGGCGAGGGAAATGAAACTCGTGAAAATTCGCAAGCATTTGAATGTGAATCTCTCTTGAGTTACTTATTTCTGTATGCAGTCTTGGTCCTCCCTGTTATCCAGCTTCTCCTGTGGCTGGGCCTGGGTGGTGGAAAGTGCGAGTCATGCGCAATCTTGCCTAATGCATGTATTTTTTTTTCAAAGCAGTTGTGAAAAGCTTGTATCCTCAGGAAGGGGATTTTAAATAAAACTGCTACTATCATAATGCCATTGAACAAATCTACGTTGCAACAGCATTTGGAATGCTGGAATGTGGTCACCTCCCCACAAATTGGATATTGTCAAGTTGGATCAAGAGGACAGAGCAACTTCTCAGCAAAGAAAAGTTGCCGCTTTCGGGACTTTTTAGTTTTCTCTAAGTAAGAGGTGACACACTAGAAGTTTTCAAAATTATGCACGGCATGCAGAATAGGTGTAGAGGATTCCTCCCACCCCACCCCCCTTCTCATAACACGAGAACATGTACATCCTATGAATGTTGGAAAATTCAGGATAATAAAAGTACTTCTTCATGCAGCGTATAGTCAGCGGAACTCGCTGCCACAGGAGGCATGACTTTAAAAGGCAATTGGACAAATACTTGGAGGAGAAGGCTATCAATGACCATCATGGCTATGATCTATCTCTGCAGCTGAAGTCAGGAATGCCTCTGAATACCAGTTGCTTGAGAACACAGATGGGGAAGTGGTCCCACTTGCAGGTTCCCCAGAGTCATCAAGTTGGACCCTGTTAGAACAGGGACCATTGGCCTGATCCGTCATGTTCTGTTTCCTCTAAAATAATGCATTTGGGGGTATGTCATTTTCACCAATACATGCATTAGCCAACACATCACCCTACCTAGTATATTAAATGTTGCATACATTACTTGGCCAGAAATAGATTTTGGCATTGCCAAATTTGGAGAAATGAGAATTTTTAAGAACGGCTGTGTTTCTGTTTTTGCATCGCATTGGGAAGTGTGGAGTAGGCAGGTTCGATACGATACGATAAACTTTAATGTCATTGTCCCATACAGAACAATGAAATTGAAAAAATCTACATCAGACATTCAAAAACCAACAAGCCTGCTGCCTCAGCTATCCCAGCCTGGTTAACCCACTAGAAACTCTGATACCCCATAATTAAATACAATATACTCCCATAGAGACTACCTTAAAGGTAAAGGTAAAGGGACTCCTGACCATTAGGTCCAGTCGTGGCCGACTCTGGGGTTGCGGTGCTCATCTCGCTTTATTGGCTGAGGGAGCCGGCGTACAGCTTCCGGGTCATGTGGCCAGCATGACTAAGCCGCTTCTGGCAAACCAGAGCAGCGCACGGAAACACCGTTTACCTTCCCGCCGGAGCGGTACCTATTTATCTACTTGCACTTTGATGTGCTCTCGAACTGCTAGGTTGGCAGGAACAGGGACTGAGCAATGGGAGCTCACCCCGTCACAGGGATTCGAACCGCCAACCTTCTGTTCAGCAAGCCCTAGGCTGTGTGGTTTACCCCACAGCGCCACCCGCGTCCCTTACTACCTTACACTGCATTTAAAACCAAAATCGCATTTGGATAGAAATTGTTTCTCAGGCAGCTGGTCTTAGTCTTTATAACCCTGTACACCTTCTTCCAGAAGGCAGAACCTGGAAGAGGTCATTTCCGGGGTGTGCACTATCCTGCACTATCTCTGCAGCTTTCTTGTGACACCTAGAAGCACAGATTTGATCCAAGGTAGGAAGCGTGCACCCAATTATTCTCTCTGCAATCTTTACAACGCTGGACAGCATTTTTTTTTCCCCTGACCATGCAGCTCCCAAACCACACACAGACCATAAGTTAATACACTCTCGACAGGACAATGGTAAAATGCTATCAACAGGTCCTTTGAGAGATTATTTTTCCAGAGGTTTCTCAGAAAATATAACCTCAGCTGTGCTCTCTTCATCAGGTCTTTACTTTACTTTTCTCCCCAGCTTAGGTTCACCTTCAAATGCAGATGGGTTCAAATTCCTCCTCCCTCCCTACCCCAAAGACACAGGCATACCGATGCAAAGTCCTTTCACCTTTTAGAGGTGCCCACTGATAAGGCCAGATTCCAGAACAAACTAGTAGGCTGGATCGACTGGTTGAACCAGGCAATCCCACCCTAAAGTCAATCGCTCATAGCCGAAGAGATAATTATCGGAACTAAATTTGGACACTGTAAGTGCCAATGCGGGTCGAGGACGCAGAAGAGTAGAGTGAAACAGAGGTTATTGTTATTGAGGTCCATGAACCAATTCCTGCAAGATCTGATCTGTAGCCTACATGCAGCAAGTTCCGGTGAAGAGCCTATACCAATGGTGGGGAACCATTTTCCGCCTGAGGGCCACAATCCTTTCTAGGCAGATTTCCCAGGGCCACATGCCAGTGGTAGGCGGGGCCAGAGGCAAAAGAAGAAGAAGAAGAAGAAGAAGAAGAAGAAGAAGAAGAAGAGGAGGAGGAGGAGGAGGAGGAGGAGGAGGAGGAGGAGTTTGGATTTGATATCCTGCTTTATCGCAACCCTAAAGAGTCTCAGTAAGGGACACGGGTGGCGCTGTGGGTTAAACCACAGAGCCTAGGACTTGCCGATCAGAAGGTCGGTGGTTCAAATCCCCGTGACGGGATGAGCTCCCGTTGTTTGGTCCCTGCTCCTGCCAACCTAGCAGTTCGAAAGCACATCAAAGTGCAAGTAGATAAATAGGTACTGCTCCAGCGGGAAGGTAAACGGCGTTTCCGTGCGGTGCTCTGGTTTGCCAGAAGCGGCTTAGTCATGCTGGCCACATGACCCGGAAGCTGTATGCCGGCTCCCTCGGCCAATAAAGCGAGATGAGTGCCGCAACCCCAGAGGTTCATGACTGGACCTAACGGTCAGGGGTCCCTTTACCTTTACCTTTAAGGAGTCTCAAAGCGGCTAACAATCTCCTTTCCCTTCCTCCCCCACAACAAACACTCTGTGAGGTGAGTGGGGCTGAGAGACTTCAGAGAAGTGTGAATAGCCCAAGGTCACCCAGCAGCTGCATGTGGAGGAGCGGAGACATGAACCCGGTTCACCAGATTACGAGTCTACCGCTCTTAACCTTTACACCACACTGGCTCTCAAAAGTAGGCTGAGAAGCAAATGTAAACGTTACCTTTGTACAGCAGGCTAGTTTCTACACCTAGTCTCACACCCCTTTCTATCCTCCATGCAAACAAGTGAGAGGCAGTATCAGAATCCAATGACACATTCCAGCCGGGGGGAAATGGGGCAGTTCTGAGGGCCAGATAGTCAGGCCTTGAGGGCCACATTCAGCCTCCATTCCTGAGGTTCTGCACTCTCAGTGTACACACATGTAGCAGCATACAGAGTAGATCTCATGATCCCATACACTCCAAAATTTCTCAAATGACAATAGCGATGACCAGTTCCATAATAATAATTGTATTATTTATACCCCGCCCATCTGACTGGGTTGCTCCAGCTACTCCGGGCGGCTTCCAACAGATATAAAAACAGAATAAAACATTAAACGTTTAAAAAACTTTCTATACAGGGCTGCCTTCAGATGTCTTCTAAAGGTTGCAGTTACTTGTCTCCTTGGCTTGAGGGTTGTATTACAGTGGTACCTTGGGTTACATACACTTCAGGTTACATACGCTTCAGGTTACAGACTCCGCTAACCCAGAAATAGTGCTTCAGGTTAAGAACTTTGCTTCAGGATGAGAACAGAAATCGTGCTCCAGCGGCGTGGTGGCAGCAGGAGGCCCCCATTAGCTAAAGTGGTGCTTCAGGTTAAGAACAGTTTCAGGTTAAGAACGGACCTCCAGAACGAATTAAGTACTTAACCCGAGATACCACTGTACTCCATACCCTCCTGTATTTCTCTGGTGAAAATAGAGACGTCCTAAGGAAAAGCGGGACATTCTTGGATGAAATCAGAAACTGGGACGGCTTCTGTAAATCGGGGAATGTCCCTGGAAAATATGGACACTTGGCATAGCTTGGGGGGCGGGGGGGCTGTGGCCCCGGGTGCAAAATTATGAGTCCCCCCCCCCCGGCACAGGCTTCTGTGGAGATCACCCAGTCACAAATGTCACAAGGCGCTGTAAAAAAGCAACAACAATTACAATGAAAACAGCTAAGGAACAGGGACAAAACTAACAAGCCCACATTGGCTTGCATGCTCGTGGCTCTCATAGCCTTTTAAACTGGAAAACCCAAGCCCTGAACTTTCATTTGTGTAGATGAGGAGCACCTAATCCGTGGTCCTCCAGGTGTGCCTGGACTCCAGCTTCCATCATCCCAGACCTTTGGCTGTGCTGGCTGGGGATGATGGGAGTTCAGCAATATCTGGAGGGCCACAGGTCCCCCACTCCATGAAGCAAGGCCAGGCAACAGTTCCTCCACCACTCATAATTTGGGAGCCTTCAGGGCATCGCTGTGCTATGCTAAAAAGACATCGCCGCCTTAGGCTGGAAGCATTGCAGAAGTATATTGGCAGGGTGAGAGTTTGTCCTCATTTTGCAACCTGCATCGGATTCAGCCAGCTCAAAATGCAGAACACCAATTAGAAGCACAGCGAACGTGAAACACCTGCTCTTCGCCTTCCTGTATCATCTCCCTAGCCCAGACAGCTTCCCAGAATCCCTTGCCTACGGCGAGATTGTTGGCAGAGTCAAACAAGAGAACTTCTGCCAAATCCGCAAGCTTCTTCTGGGTCTGTACAGTGGTACCTCGGGTTAAGTACTTAATTTGTTCTGGAGGTCCGTACTTAACCTGAAACTGTTCTTAACCTGAAGCACCACTTTAGCTAATGGGGTCTCCTGCTGCCACCACCGCGCCGCCAGAGCACGATTTCTGTTCTCATCCTGAAGCAAAGTTCTTAACCTGAAGCACTATTTCTGGGTTAGCGGAGTCTGTAACCTGAAGCGTATGTAACCTGAAGCGTATGTAACCCGAGGTACCACTGTATTTCTCTCTTGCCCACGCAGGCATTTCCAGGATGCCGCAAGCGCAGAGGGGACAGGATGGTAAACTGAAGTCAGAAGACACCTTTTCCCCTTATATGAGTTTTCACTCAGGGCATGTCCCCCACCCTAGTGCCCCAAAGACCACCAGCCTCTTACCTCCTCTTCTCCTGCTTTTTGTATTCCCACTAGGACTTTAGTCCAGGAGACGCCTGCCTTCTCCAGCAGCTCAGTTCAGCCACATTCTCCCTCTCGAATTCCTTTCCTCTTTGCTTCCGCTGTAACCCTCACTAGACAACACAAACGCAGCATGTTTGGGTGAGGGAGGAGTAGGAAGCCGAGGCAGGCTCCCTTTCATGCCCTTGCCCTGGTTCTATGAAGGGGGCCTTGAGGTGAGGAGAGCTTGTTTGGCAAGTTCCACCCACGGAGGAGAGGGGCTGGAGGATTCCTGCAGAGAGAAACCACCACATGAGATTGGGTGACTTGGCTCCAGGGCAAGGTCAGAGAGCAACGGATATAGCAAAAGCTCCGCAGGCTCAGACCTGATCAGTGCCTGAGTGGGAGATCAGCAAACACAACCTGGATTCCTGCTGTGGAATGGGGAGAGAGAGAAATAAACTCTGGAAGACATGGGGACATTATGCCAAGCCATATCCAGAGACCCACCGTGCCTCCAAAAATTCGTACTGCACCTTCTCTGACATTAGAAAGCTGGCATTACAGCGGTACCTTGGTTCTCAAACGCCTTGGTACAGAAACCACTTGGAACCCAAACACTGCAAACCCAGAAGTAAGTGTTCTGGTTTGCGAACTTTTTTCGGAAGTCGAACATGCTCCATTTTGAGTGCCACACTTCCGTTTTGAGGTCCACACTTTTGAGTGTTATGCTGCCTGTTTTTGCTATTTATTTTGCATTTTTGTTTTTGTGACTCTTTTTGTTTTGTTTTTGTGGCTGTGTGGAACCCAGTTCAGCTACTGATTGATTGATTGATTGTGTGACTGCAGTACATTGTTTATTGCTTTCATTTTATGGATCAGTGGTCTCGTTAGATAGTGACATTCATGTTAAATTGCTGTTTGGGGGGGTTGTTTTTAAAAGTCTGGAACAGATTAATCCATTTTGCATTACTTTCTTCGGGAAAGCGTGCCTTGGTTTTGGAATGCTTTGGTTCTGGAATGGATTTCCGCAATGGATTAAGTTTGAGAACCAAGGTACCACTGTATCCACCAAGTGAGGCAATTGGTTCATCTAGCTCAACATTGTCTAAAGGAGGGGCAGTCAACCATGGTGCCCTCCAGATGTTGTTGGACTCCAACTCCCATCAGCCCCAGCCAACATGGCCAATGGACAGGAGGAATTATGGGAATTGTAATCCAGCAGCAACTTGGAGGGCCATAGGCTTTTCCATCCCTGGCTGTGGGGCTGGCCCTTTCATTAGGCAAGCTGAGGCAATTGCCTCAGGCAGCAAGTGCAGAGCAGTGGTCAGTTTGTGTTGCCTCATGGTTTTGCCAGGCTGAGTGGTCCATTAGGAATGGGGCAAAGCTCCACCAACTTCAGTCTGCCTTCAGTCTGCTGCGACCTGCCCATCTCCAAGGGGTGGCCTTGGCTGCCAGCTTCCTCCTCTTTCGCCTCAGTATTATCCTTGTAGAACCCTCTTTCATTGGCTCTGGTGCCCCCTAGGTTTGGGCCCCTGGCCTTCCTCCCTACGACAGTGCCCTGTGGCACCAGCCACCACTGCCAACTGCCCACCCACCTGGCAAATCTTTTTGCCAGCCCTCCACCTCCGTTGACTTGCTCTAGGAAGGACCAAGCTCTCTCTCTCTCTCTGTGTGTGTGTGTGTGTGTGTCCCTTTTCAGGGTGAAGCACTCTGGGTGCTGAGAGAGCCTGTGCCACCGCAGCAAGAAATTCAGAGGCAAAAATTTGAAAGTAAACTATCTGGTACAGACAGAACAAATGGTCAAAGATAGGGCCGGCAGCTACTGTGGTGGTCGCAGCTGCTCTTTGCCCAGTTGCTGAAAGCACAGAGCAAATTGCCACTCGGTTGGCCATCTCTTGGAGGCCCCTGAGCCAAGCATTTCATTGGTTGCATGGAGTATCTAGCCTGAACCTAAGAACATAAGAAGAGCCTGCTGGATCAGGCCCAGACTCCGGTTCTCACAGTGACCGACCAGTTGCCTGTGGGAAACCAGCAAGCAGGACTGGAGCACAAGGGCGCTCTCTTCTCCTGTGGTTTCCAGCAACTGGTCTTCAGACACATTGCTGCCTCCATCTGTGGAGACAGAGCATGGTCATCATGTTGGGACGCAGGTGGCACTGTGGTCTAAACCACTGAGCCTTTTGGGCTTGCTAATCAGAAGGTCAGCGGTTCAAATCCCCGTGACAGAGTGAGCTCTGTGGACAAACGCCGGCTCCCTTGGCCTGAAAGCGAGATGAGCGCCGCAACCCCATAGTCGCCTTTGACTGGACTTAACCATCCAGGGGATCCTTCACCTTATATAGGGACGCGGGTGGCACTGTGGTGTAAACCACTGAGCCTCTTGGGTTTGCTGATTGGAAGGTCGGCGGTTCAAATCCCCGCTATGGAGTGAGCTCCTGTTGCTCTGTCTCAGCTCCTGCCAACCTAGCAGTTCAAAAGCACACCAGTGCTAGTAGATAAATAGGTACCACTCTGGCAGGAAGGTAAACGGCGTTTCCATGCACTCTGGTTTCCGTCACGGTGTTCCGTTGCACCAGAAGCGGTTTAGTAATGCTGGCCACATGACCCGGAAAGCTGTCTGTGGACAAATGCCGGCTCCCTTGGCCTGAAAGCGAGGTGAGTGCCACCACTCCATGGTCTCCTTTGACTGGACCGTCCAGGAGTCCTTTACCTTTTTCTACCATCATGGATAATGGCCATTGACAGCCCTCGCCTCCATGAGGTAGTAGAGCCTTGCAAGAAGGTCCCAGGTTCAATCCCTGGCATCTCCCGGTAGGGCTGCAACTGCCCCCTTCTGAAACCCTGGAGAGCTTCTGCCAGTCAGTGTAAACAATAATGGCTAGATGTACCGAAGACAGCTTCCCACAATACCCACTTCAGCTTCTTTAGTTGGTACGTACTTTTTGATAAGAAGCATGCCAGCTGGATGTCAAAATCGCCCAGAAGGCAGGATTATTATTATTATTATTATTATTATTATTATTATTATTACTACTATTATTCAACGAGTGATGTAAATATAAAGCATGGTTGCTAAAGTAGGGAGCAGGGTGCACCCCTCAACAGATTTGCCTCCCACCCATCCCTGCCTGCTCCTTTCTCGCGCCCACCCACGCTCTCTCCTTTCCCATCAATCACCCATCTTCTTGTGTCGCTAATTAGCTTCCTCGCTGCCCACACAGAGGCCCCAGAGAGTTCCCCTTGCCTGCCCTTCCAGGAGCTAATGAGGCTCTCTAATGAACCGCCCTTCACAGACTGGCGTGTATCACCAGCCCCAGTGGGCCTGGAGTTAACCCTTTGCTCCCCGGAACTGGTGGTCAGGAGGACCGACACACGTCAGAACGGCTCGTCTGTGCATTCACGGGGGCGGCGGCAGGAGAAATAGACTTGCCAGGTTATTATTATTATTATTTCCCCCTGGCAGGAATTTAACAGGAGCTCAGAGGTAAAGCCTGTGTGCCGTATAACGAAAAGTCTCAAGTTCAGCCTCTGGCTTCTGATTCTTTATTGACTTGCTATATGATAGCATGCTATTTCTTGGTACTTTTCCTCCAAGGGGCTCAGGAAGGCTTATCCAAAGTGTGGACTAAGGCAGGGGTGAGGAACCTGTTTGAGCCACATTCCCTTCTTCCAGGGGCCACGTGGATGGCATCAGAGATAAAATCAGGTGGGGCATGGACCACAAGCATTACCTTTGTACAGTAGGCTAGTTCATACGCAAACACACACAAGCCTGACTCTGTCCTCCATACAGGCAAGTAAGAGGCATAATCAGGATTCAATGGCACATTCCAGCCAGGCAAAAATGCCCATGATGCAAAAGGCCCGTGAGGGGTGTGGCGGGGGAGCAGGTGTGCAGTGCGTGATGAGTCCTGAGGACCAGATCAAAAGGCTTGGAGGGCCCCCAGGTCTGAGTTTTAGAGGCCTTAAAGGTAAAGGTAAAGAGACCCCTGACCATTAGGTCCAGTCGTGGCCGACTCTGGGGTTGCGGCGCTCATCTCGCTTTATTGGCCGAGGGAGCCGGCGTACAGCTTCTGGGTCATGTGGCCAGCATGACTAAGCCGCTTCTAGCGAACCAGAGCAGTGCACGGAAACGCCATTTACCTTCCCGCCGGAGCCGTACCTATTTATCTACTTGCACTTTGATGTGCTTTTGAACTGCTAGGTGGGCAGGAGCAGGGACCGAGCAATGGGAGCTCACCCCATTGTGGGGATTCGAACCGCTGACCTTCTGATCGGCAAGCCCTAGGCTCTGTGGTTTAACCCACAGCACCACCCGCGTCCCTTTAGAGGCCTTAGCTTTGCTAAATGTAAGTGGGGAAATACAGCTCTGCCATCCACTGCATGCTGTCAACTATCCTGTGATGGGTTTTAGGCTGAGAGGAAGAAAGCAGCTGGTTCAAGGTCACTTACTGAAGTTCACCCCAAGATCCGGAGGAGCACAGCTCTTCTGCCTGAGATTGTGTAGAGCTTCTGACAATCAGAGTAGGCAACATTAGTCTAGCCAATGTCTAGATGTCTAGCCAATGTCTAGCCAATTAGTCTAGTCTAGCCATTAGTCTAGACTCTATGCATCTTGGACAGTCTGAAGTTGAAGTGTAGTGGATCAGGATGTTGGACTTAGACCAGAGAGCTCTGAGCCCCATTCCTCTCCATCCTTAGCAACCAAGCTTGCTGGGTGACCTTGGGCCAGTTGATAAAACTCAAGCTTACCCATCGCACAGGATTGTTGCGAGCGGAGGTGCTATGGATGCCGCCTTGACCTCCTCAGAAGACAATTAAAATAAGAATAAACAGCTGCCTGATGGCATAGGAACCAATTACTAGGGGCCAAGGTCCCTTCACTCCCCCAATAAAATATTTGAGGATGCTGGGCTGGGCCCCCTGAAAGTTGATGGGCATTGTCATTCAAATGGTGTGCATGCACTGTGTTGTGTGATTATGTGGGGGTTATCTACCCCCTTCAAATATTTTATTCATGTTTGCACCCCTGCCTGACAGGTGAAGGGAGAGATCAACAGGTGCAGAGTTTCTGCGGGATACCACCGAAGTGAACCATACCCGTTGAATTTC